CCTCGATGGTATCAACTTGAACACCGTCGACACCTTGAACATCAACAACAACAACCGTCTCAAGACCTTCAGCACCCAAGTTGGAAATGTCACCACTCTTCTCAACATTGATTCCAACGGAAAGAACTTGGATGTCAGCTTCCCTAACTTGATCTGGGCCGCCAACATGACCTTCCGTAACGTCTCCAGTGTCAGCATTCCATCTTTGGCCGTTGTCAACGGATCCCTCGGTTTCTACGAGAACTACTTCACCAGTCTCAATGCACCAAACTTGACATCTGTCGGTAACACTGCTAACGGACAAGGTGGATTGGCTTTCGTTGCTAACCCATCCCTCGCCAACATCACCATCCCTATGCTCGAGACCGTTGGAGGTGCTTTCCAAATTGCCAACAACTCTGCTCTTGATGCTATCAACTTCCCAGCGTTGACTCAAGTTGGAGGTGCTATTGATTTCTCCGGAAACTTCACCACGTAAGTTCTTTCATGACGGAAACTCGTATTTTGAGAATTAGCTAACATATTTATTTTTCAGCCCTGAATTACCAAAGCTCAACGACGTTAAGGGTGGTTTCAACATGCAATCCACCACCTCCATCGACTGCAGTGGATTCAAGTCTGAGCACGACAGCGGTAACATCCAAGGTACCTACACTTGCAAGACTACCGCCAATGCTCAATCCGGAACCGGAACCGGAAGTGGAACCAGCTCTTCCTCAAGTGCCTCTGCTTCTTCTAGCAAGGGTGCTGCTGTCTCTTACGGTGTCAATGAGGCAGTTATGGGTGCCTCCGTCATCGGAGGTTTCTTGAGCATGTTGTTGTAAATCATTGGGACGTCGGCGTTTTTCCTTTAATTATCACATTAGACCTAATATGCCACGTTCTCTCTGTTTTACATGACTTTTCATAAGCTTTTGAGCGGTTTTCACCTTCATCAGGATGATTAGGGGCGTGTGCTTTGCATATCCATTGCTGTCAAGGTTGCTCTGCTTGTGCACCTGTTACATTGATGGTATACAGAAAATTCCATGAAGTTATTTAAGGGAAGGGTGGGAAACATTAAGCTTTTGAGAAGAGAGAATCCGAAATTGTACATTTGAATATTGTTTCCCTGGAATCGAGAAGTGCAGAGAATAATAATGAATCTCTTTTAAACCATAATATCATAATGTCTGTCTTTATTTGTTACATGCCCATGTGTGTTCTCGACTTTGCCAAGTTTTGATGTGATTCAATGAATCGGTAATTGTAAGATCTACTGTGTAGTGTATCATGTAGTTGATTAGAATGCGGGTCGTCTCGATCCTTGAGTTGATTAGTGTGGGTCTTGAAATAAATGTCACTACTGTTGTATGTGTGTGAGTATGTCATTGGAGGATATTGTGGTGTGAGTGTGTCATTGGAGATTGATGTTGAGATTGATGATCTTGGTATGTTGAGTCATTTGTCTTATGTTTCATGTTTACATGTTTACATGTTTTAGATTTTGTTTTTTGTTTTTTCTTCTCTACTCTCTCTAGGGAGATTGGGAGAGGGACTGGAGTGGAGCGGATTGGATAGGGCTGGATTGATGGGTTGATGGGTAGGGACTGGGGTAGAGATTGGATGGGTGGTGATGGAGAGGGGTGGTGATGGAGAGGAGTGGTGATGGAGAGGGGTGATGGAAAATGATTGGTAGGTGGTTAGTTAGTTGGGTGAGCTGAGCTGATTTAATCTGATTTAGTTTGATCCGAGCTGATCTGATCGTGTCTGGTCGGGTGTGCTATATTGTTTTTAGGGGGAGGGGGATGAGGAAGGAGAGGATGAGATATACTGGTTGATAGGCAGTAAGGTTGAAGAGGTGAGTAGAGAGAGGTGAGTACTTTTATCACTACTGCATGGAAGGAAGGGGGTAAAGTAATTGTGGGTGTCGATGGATGGATCGGTGGATTTGAAAGGAATATGAGCGTATACAAGATGAGATGAGATGAGATGAGATGGAGTGAGATGGAATGCGATGGAATGCGATGTAGTGTATGTAGCATACATGTATATATATATATACGATACAATACCAGGTAAAGTATGAAAAAGAGAACGAAAGAAAGAAAGACAATTATATGAGCTGAAGAGTCCTTGTAGTTAGGAGACTAGACTGTGGTTGTAGTCTGTTGTGAGGTATGGTGAGTGAGATGAGGTGAGGTAGGATGAGTACTATGAGATGAGGTGAGATGCGCGGGTTAAAATGAGAGGGAATGTGATTGAATGTGATGTGATGATGTACAAAACGCTTACCTATCTACCTAGGTAGGTATACAAAATACAGAATACAGAATCCTTAGATAGGTAACTACTTACCTAGTAATCAGTCAACCTGATCTATAAATAGTACATAAAGATACAGATAGGTAGACAGGTAGATACATAAACAGGTATGTAAGTGAGAAATTTATATACCTATTTATTAGATAGATACCTAGTTAGATACCTAGTTAGATGGATTACATTATATTAGATTATTTTGTATAACAAATAAAATACAATAAGATAGATAGAATGAAAGTATGAACGATCGAAGCCAGATGAGAAGTGGAAGTTGGAAGATGGAAGATGGAAGGCTATGACTTGAATCGAGATCTCAGTATGGGATTCAATATATCTATAATGGGATGGGTAGAATGGATGAATATGCAGCAATCTACCTACGTCAGAGCGGATCTTGGGATTGTAGTGACGCGCATATCAAATAGATGAAGGGGATGGGATGCGTAGAAGGAAAAAGAGATGAATGTGATGTCATATATAGGGGAAAGACGCACTCTAGTGTACTCTCTGGCAGATAGCTATCCATCATCTACTATATCAGAGAAGTGCGAATTTCTAGAAAATTTTCATTGAATTCTAACTCAAAAAACATGCTCTAAAATCAATACAAAAGTATACGTATAAACGAAAATCAAAATTTGTAGTACATCTAGGAATATATCTACACAAAGATATCATCCCCTTAAAAGTATTGAAAAGGTAGCTAGCTTCCTCTACAATTTAGCCTTGGGTTGCTTAAGCATAGTATCTGCCACTATTCTCCTTTGAATCTTCCCTGTAGCTGTCTTTGGCATAACATCAGAAAAGTATACCTGTTTTGGCACCTTGAACTTGGCCACTTTATCCGCAACCCATTGCTTCAACTCTGAGGCGGTCAATTTTTGATCTGGCTTCAATACAATAGCAACGCCAACATCTTGACCATACATTTCATCGGGTATAGCAAAGCTGACAGCTTCGGAAACAGCAGGGTGACGGGCTAGAACATTGTCTAGTTCAATAGGAGAGATTTTCTCGCCTCCTTTATTGATAAGTTCCTTAATGCGACCAGTGATAAACACATATCTATCTTTATCCATTTTCCCTTGATCACCAGTTCTGAAAAATCCTTCTTTGGTAAAGGACTCCTTGTTGGCTTTCTCATTATTGAGATAACCTTTCGTAACGTTCTCGCCGCGAATAGAAATCTCTCCTTCAGAGCCAATTGGAACTTCTTTACCTTCGCCATCGAGAATTCTTACTTCAACTCCTTGACCAATTCCTACAGAACCAGGTTGACGTTTTCCCGGTGGAAGAGGATTGGATGTCATTTGATGGGATGCTTCTGTCATGGCGTAGGCTTCAAGGACAGGAGCATTGTATGTTTCTTCCAGGGCGTGGAAAGTGGTTGGAGAAAGAGGGGAAGAACATGATCGGATGAATCGAATATTGGGCTTGGTTGCGGGTGGTGGGTTCTTCAAGAGAATTTGATGGATGGTTGGAACAGCAGTATACCAATTTGCTTTGTGTGTAATGAAATCGGTCCAAAATTCTGAAGCAGAGAACTTAGGAGGGACGATGACAGAACCCCCGGACATTAATGGAGCTAGGAAACCCGCTAAAAGTCCATGAACGTGAAATAGAGGCATAACAAGCATGGTACGATCTGCAGGAGTAAGCTCGTATGTAGCTTGTATGTTTTTCATAGTTGTAGTGAGGTTCCTGTGTGTCAATGGCACAGCTTTTGGTCTTCCTGTCGTTCCACTGGTATGTAAAACTAAAGCAACATCATCTGGTTGTGCCTGCTCAACCTTTTGATTTCCATTCCCCTTCAGTTTTCCCTCATCCTTAACATCCAACACAACCTCACTGCCATTCCAGTAACATTCTGCGATAGCCGCATTATATTTTCTTGCAGCCCTCACCGCAGGTCCATCTTTCTGAAACGAATCTTTGGGAACAAGAGCAACTGCCGAGCTCAAATCATCAATATAGAATTCGAATTCTTCTTGCTTGTATGCGGAGTTGAGAGGTGCAGCAATTCCCCTTTGCCATGATGCTGCTAAGAAGGCAATAATGAATTCATAGGTATTTGGTAGAGCAATTGATACTGCAGCTTGTGGTGTAACACCAAGCTTGGCGAGCTTCTTTTGAAATGAGGATATCTCGGCGGTGAGTTGTTTATAGGTAATCGTAAGAGGTTGCTTTCCTGGGACAATAATTGCTGTGGTAGTATTGCCAGTGGAGAAGGAATTGGCGAGGGTAATAGCAGACATCTTGGCCTGCGTGGGTTCGTAGACGATGGTTGGTTGAGACGACGATAATCGTTGTACTGTACAAGGTTTGAAATAGAGCCAAGATCAGAATGTAACTTGAAGAATCCGAAGAATTAACGAATAAGGTATAAAATCATTCAAATATCGTCCTTTGGTTTAAGTTAGGATGGAAGAGAAACTTGATTGTCACGTATGAGATTAATATGAACCATTCCCAGACTTTCTAAGCTTTCCGAGCTCGCAAAGGTTCCGCGCCTCTCCTGAACTTCTTATCCACGGCGTCCTTCCCTTATCGGAAAGAAGCTCCTCGTCACCTGACTTTGGTGACATCTACTAGGTACAGCCTTATGCGCCAGGCTGTGGTTTTGCAAACAACTGAAATTCAACATTCAACGGTCTCTCCATCTGATTACTTTTCTTTTGCGTGATTAATATATCGATATGTCTAATCCTCCCAATGCTACTCCTGCACGGAATGGGCTCTCTCTCTATGCAAACTTGTTAGATCCATCATCGAGTGATACGCCTGGCTCCATTACCAAAGCACCTGTTGTTTTCAATTCAGTGGAAGATGAAGCTTCTAAGAAACCCCAAATTGATGCTGGTATGATATGAATGATTTGAATTCAATCTATGTTTTTGCACAGCTCACTCAATATTTGAATAGCTGCCCTGAGATTTCAACCCACGAGGAGACCACAGCTTTCTCAAAAGCCAAAAGCGAAACCATCATTCCCAAAAGCTGCCATTGCCAGTCTGAATACCAACGAACCGAGCAATGTAGCCGTCGCGAAGCCTGCCGCATCAAATGCTGCCAAGCCTGCTTCTAAGAGCACCTTGGCCGATTGGGCCGCTGACGATGATGACGTAAATGGATTCTATGTTGGAGAGAAAAGGCAAAGAGGTGGAAGGAAACGAAGGAAGAAGAATAGGGAAGAGCAAGCCGTCGCGCAGGATTGGGACGATATTTACGACCCTTCACGGCCAAACAACTACGAGGAATATAAGAATAGTGATGAGAAGGTTCGAGAAGTGCGAGAGTGGAAGGATAGACTTTATGCTCATAGAATGGCGCGAAAGACATCAAGTGATAGTGACGACGAGGAATCATACCGTCCGAAGATTGGTAGTAAGCGATCCCTTTTTTGCTTCTTTTTCCTCATGGAACTGATGATTTGCAGAACAATTTGCCCCGCCTCCGAATTATTCATTTGCTCCACCCCCAATTGATTCTCCTCCCAAGAATCGTTCCAAGTCCCCACAAAGTGACTTTTATAGTCCTACTCTTGGAGCAGAGTCTAATCCACCTCCTCCACCTCCCGAAGATCAGCCATTACCCCCACCAGTACCATCAGTGGAGGCTATTTCCAGAGCACCAGTGCGATATAATCTACCGCCGGCGCCAAGTGATCTTCCAGCTTCGGAAGCAGAACTAGATAAAGCTCTTGCAGACGAAGTAGACGGGGAAGCTGAGGGAGAAGCTGATGAGAATGCGCAAAAATCACTTCGTCCGGGTCAAAAAGGGTTTGCAGAGCGTCTAATGTCTAAATATGGCTGGAGCAAAGGTTCAGGACTGGGGGCCGATGGTTCTGGTATGATTACACCTCTTCAGGTCAAACTTGACAAACGGAAAAAGAAGTCCGATGCAGAAGGCGGCGGGTTTCGCGATGCGGGGGGCAGAGGAAAGATCATTGGTGGTAAGAAGGTTGTTAAGGAGGAGGAAACAGGCAGATTCGGACCGATGTCAGAAGTCATTGTGCTGCGTGGAATGGTAGATAACATGGATTTAGATGAGGAAGTAGAAGGTTCAGGGGATGGGGGTCTGATGCAGGAAATTGGGGATGAATGTGGTGAAAAGGTATGTTCGATTGTGGCAATGGCTGAAAACATCCCGCTAAGAAGCTTTAGTATGGACGGGTTGAACGAGTCTATATCGATAGGCAAAGTGCCCCAGCAAAAGTCTTCGTCAAATTCACTAATCAGTTGTCAGCTCTGAGGGTACGTAACTCAATTGCCACTCTTTTATTGACTGTAGCTAATCTAGATAGGCTGTTAATGCGCTCGAGGGGCGTATATTCAACGGGAATACCATATCAGCTTTGTTTTATGATACCGAAACTTTTGAGAAGGGTATCTATGAATAGATAATTAAATTTTGTCCACAAATCAATCATTTTCGCAGTACTGTTTTGTCTTGTTGTGCATTATTGCCTGATTGTTGCGCAAATATATCCATGGGTAGTCCCGTTGCATATCATCTCGGCTTCGATCTTATCACATTTTTCTCATCTTACATATTCATTTATCGGAAGAACATGGTCGCCCGGATAAGCGTCCTTGGCGATCGACCTCCAGCTGGTAAAATCACGAGTGATGTAACGTGGCTTCGGGATAAATTTTCAAGAGAAGACCAATATCAACAACACCTTCGTCAATCTGCAGCTAGACCCCGAGATGAGTACTACTGCCCAGTCGGAGTTTATTCCTATAGTCTCAATCTCTAGTCTGTTATGTCATCGAATTTTTTGATATTGTTTTAGTACTTCGGTTAAGTTACATGATATGTGCTGCCCCTTTCAATCTGAATTACCAAGAAGAATGAACGGAGTACATTAAGAATAGAAAATCAATATTCCATTGTACATGGAACAGACTGGAGGGCTTGAGATGAAACTTTCCTAAACCTCCAATGATTTCTCGATTTGATCATAGTCTTGGCGCTCCAGCGCCTCGTAATTATGATTGCTATTGTGTTCCACAGGTGTAGCAATTCCATAGCTCACATCCCAGCCTTTGTTGCACCATATATCTTATGCAGCTTCTCCCCAAAAAGGTTAGGAGCACGAAAGGCCAACCTCAAAAGTTGTAACCTTTTGATATATCTAGTTCCACTATTTTGGAATCGACATCCTTTACAAGTTTTATTGAAGAGCATTCTCTTGTTCGTCAACAGTTTGCCGCTATCAAGTCTCGAAAGTTCATACGCAATTGGTACTATTCATTTTCCCAAAATGTCGAATTTCACCGACACTTCAACCTTTTCCCCATCGCCATCTTGTGCGTTACACCCTCGTTCACCTCTGCTGTCTGGGATTTCTGATCACACTTTGGGTGTAATTCTACCCACATTTGTTTACATTATCGGGAGTTTAGTCTTTTACATCGTCAATGAGCTTGAGTTGTTCAGCAACTATCGTATCCACCCACCGAAGGAGGAACTACATCGAAACCGCGTATCAAGGTTGGGATGTCTTCTTGTTGTCGTTCGTTATCATGTTATACAGATCGTGATAGGAATACTTCTCACCTACAGCAACGGGCCGGAGCTTGTGGAAATTGGGGGTTGTGAAACATATCAGTGGGTGCGACGGGTTAGAAAATGTCTTACAGCCATCCCATGGGCATTGACATTGCTCGGTCTAGATACTCAAGAACTTATGTCGAAATTCAGTAAAACACCGTTGCTGTCACATATTTCGGCGAACAGTCCTGAGATATTATCAAGCCCTACTTTCACTGCCGTGGAGTGGAACTTGGCCCGTATCATAGTTTCTTTTGCGATTCCAGCGATACAGTTCTTCGTGTATCTCGCAGTTGTCGATACATGGATCTATTTCATACATCGTCTCTGTCATATCAACAAGACTCTTTATCGTATGTACAGGATCTCCTTTCTGCAAATCCATTCACTCGAGCTTGTCTAATTGAAAACCTTTTTAGGGATTGTACATGCTCAGCATCATCAACTTTACGTTCCTTATGCTTACGGTGCTGTATACGCCCATTGGCTTGAAACTCTCTTCATAGATATCTTGAGCTTTACCTTAGCAAACGCCATTTCAGGAATTTCAGTTCGTCAAGGAATGATTGTGACATCGCTAGCGACGTTAAAGACCATCAGTGATCATTGCAACTTTGTATTTCCATGGGATCCTTTCGGGTACATCAATGGAAATAATGCAGCATTTCACGATTTGCACCATCAAAGTTGGGGTCTCAAGGTCAGTGAAATCTCGGGTCTTAAGACAATTTTGTTTCTGGAGGTACTAACACGAGTCTACCTAGTACAACTATTCTACATACACCGTGTTTTGGGATAAATTCTTCGGGACCGAATGGACTGATACTACAGGGGCGGACATGCGTTACGCTCGAACTCGCGACTTAGTTAAAGCCCGCAGGGAGATAGACGAGGTGACAACCGTGCACCCGAAAGTGTTGTAGAGGAGATTTAGAATATCTACCTCCGGAGATAAAGCATCCTGTGCCTCGGTGTCGGAAATACATATGGAGGGGTTACCTATGATTTGTAGCCAATGTGCCCAGCAGTTCAGATTGCAATTTAATTTGAATTCGTCGGATTTTGAATCTTGGAGGACGCTTCAGTCATTCTGATAAAGTTGTTATCTTAGATAGATAATGATCAAAAGTGTTTCAGCTTTGAAATTCATACAGTGATCAGGATGATTTTAATGTCTAATAGTTCTTGCTTGCGTCCGGACTACCGAAAACACTGCACACAATATCCATGACTTCTATTGACTTGTATCTTGCCCTTCTACTGATAGACTACTATACTAGTTTTATCGAGCACGGAAAATATACCCGTCTTATTTAGGCATAGCGCTGGGTTGTCACACCTAATTAGCTTTACCAATTGTGTGTCGCGTTACCATCGTCGTGTCGGTTAATGACCCCTTGACAATCGTAACCTGATATTCGTAAACAATATTCTTGAATGTCATGAGCAATGCAGCCACAAATAAGCCGATACAGCTGAATCATACAGGTGCATACTCTGAGCGCCACCATGGATCTTCTCTTGTCGACGTAACTTAAGTATGCATGGCTACAAATCGGGACAAAATTAAATGCACTTATCATGGGTGTGCTATGAATACAGCCGAGTAAAAAAAACTACATGGGTATGGCTCACTGAGCATTTCTGCTATAAAATAGTATTTCAGTTTGAGTTTCTTGAAGTCTCCAGTAAACTTCTCCAGCGTTGAAGCTTTTCTCACATCGTTGGTACAGCTATCACTCAGCATGGATACTCCAATGGCCAATACCTCTTCATTCACCCCCACCTATACGGTGTCATCTCCTCACCTTTATCCTCGCCCGCCTATGTCCTCCCACATCTCAGACTTCCACCTTACCCTCCTACTTCCCGTTTTAACATACTGGCTCACTGCTCTCTTCTGGTCTATCATCTCATATTATGATATTTGGTCTAGCTACCGCATTCATACACCGGCCGAAATCGAAAGTCGTAACGGTGTCACAATCCCCCAAGTCTTGCGCTCTATTCTCGGACAGCAGCTATTTCAGACGGCATGGGGATTGTTCCTAGGCTATTGTGTTCTTGGAACTGAAGATATGGTAGGGTCAGAGGATTACGATATTGCTGTGTGGGCGGAGAGGGTTGTGAAAGGATATTCCTGGATACAGTGGAGCTTGAGGATGAGCATGATGGGCTTGGGATTGGATCTTGCGAATTCCAAAGGGTCTTTGCATCTTCCGGTCCGTGTCAATATCACTACGTCTGTAAGTCAACTCACCCGGCTTTAGTATCTTCGACAAAGACTAATGTGTGAAAAGGATGGAAGAATCATTGCATGGGAAATAATAGTCGCGCAAGTGATATATTGGCTTCTTGCGCCCGCAGCTCGATTCGCGATTTGTATCTTCATCAGCGACTCATGGCAATATTTTGGACATCGTGCCTTTCATGAAAATAGATGGCTATACCGTATGTATCATATTATTATCTCTCTGCAATCTTTCTCAAATCGCTAATCCGTTCCGGCTCATCAGGAAATGTCCACTCTCTACACCACCGCGTTAATGCACCTTACGCATTCGCCGCATTTTACAATACTCTTACCGAATCATTTATCATGGATACCTGTGGAATCAGCGTCGCGTTTTACTTTTCCGGACTTCACATGCGTGAGGCTTTGATATTCTCTATCGTCAGCGTGTTGAAAGGCGTCGATGATCACTGTGGATACAGACTCCCATGGAATCCCATCCAATGGTTGGGCGAACAAGACACCTCGTTTCATGATATCCATCACCAGACTTGGGGTGCTACTGTAAGTTGCTGATTGTCTCCTGTAACTCCTTTGATGATGAATTGGACTTAGACTTGGAAACTCAACACTGACTATTGATTCAATGAATAGACAAACTTTTCGCAGGTTTACACAACATTCTGGGATCATGTTTTGGGAACGATATCTAGAAAGACTCCGGAGGAGATAGAGGAGCTTTACAAGAAGGGAAGAGAGAATGCGGAAAAGGCTAAGAAAGTCAATTGATGGTTACGAATAAAGAAGAATGGTGCGGGACGGACATAGAACGCCGATTATGATGAGATGGTGGTTGAGGATTGATGATGGAAAAAGTTGATGGCATGCAAACAAAGTCAATGGGTGTGCTTGAGTGGGGTATTTTCCTTGTGTCTAATTTATGGTGATATTTTATATTTCAATTTTTTTGTACCAAATATGGGTCATGGAATGTTTCTCTCTTGTACTGTTCAGCTTAGTCTGCCAAAAGCAGAATAAAAGTCTTATTATTAATCATATTACTTTAATCTTGATTACTCCCCAAGATATCGTCAGAATTTTTGATTCGGTCGTTCAAATGCTTGTTCTCATCTTATGTGCGCTGTACGTGTTACAATGACTTGTAGCTGAAGTCGGATTTTGAAACTACTGGTATGCTATTAAATCTCTCAGTGCCATCCCAAAAATATGACGTATTGTGAAGAAAAAAATGTTGGCAATGAGGAAACGTTAATGAGACATGGCGTTGCCACATTCCCATTTGTGATCTAATGGATTTTACATTAGATTAAGGGTACATTTCACAAGTACACATGTTTTACCTGTCTCACTCTGTAACCTGTAGTATATTCGCACAAGTACCGACAGTGTGGATGTGAAGTACAACATTTCTTACACAACAGACGTATTTTTAATTAGATAGTGAAATTACATTTAGAACTTTTGATGTTTCTCGCACAAAGCTAGCCATTCAAAGAAAACTTAGATACATGTATGCAACGAACAACGAAAACAAGCGACAAAGAGATGCGTATTGTAGATATATCAGGCCGGAGAGAAAAAGTAGGAAATTTCCATTTAAAAAGCAACTTGTTTGACACATTGATAATGCCAAATATTCACCAAAGCGAGTGGTTGTTATCTTCAGTTTATGCCAGGCTCACAGTTCTAACTTTCTACTGTTCTCGAAATAGATAGCCTCCAGTGAAAAACAGCTTTCGTATATATAATTAGCGAGACTCTCTGGAACAATTGAACAGAAATGTACTTACACATGGAATCGCTCCAGTTAGAGAGAAAATACCCATAGCTAAAGTCATAGCCTTCCAGCCAAATTGTGTAATTAGCGCACCAGCGAATACTGGACCAAATATGGTAGCGGCTGCCATGGAGCAATTGAAAAGAGCATATGCCTGAGCATAAGCTCCACCAGGACCAAATTTTCCTGGATTTGCGATCTCGATTTCTCCAACTACTAGAGACAAATCTGCGGCAACAGGTGCTACGATAAGAATAAGAGTACACCCTAGAGATCCAGATTTAGTAAGCGAACATAACCATTGTGAGAAGATAGGAGTTGAATGATTCATACCGCAGATAAACAATAAGACGCACAACAGAACCTTTTGCTCATCTGTATCATTATCGACAAGTCGTAGAAGTATCAGTGGCACTGCTGTGAGAGTACATCCAGCAACAGCGATCCAACGAGGACCTAGACGATCAGATAATGCACCGACCAGTGGACCTCCAAGCCCCGGGATAGCTATACACAAAAATATGAGACCAGCGGCAAGAGAACTCCAATGAAAGGTCTCTTTGACAAACAATGCGAGAACACTGTCAAAAGTGGCGAGAATAGAAACGTTAACAAATATACCGTATATGGCGGCAACAACTCTCGCCGAACCGAGCAAGGTAATGACTGGTGGAAGACTCCAACCTTTAGATTCTTGTTTTCTGTTTTGCTTTCTATTTGGAAGGAGAGCGCTAGATTCGTCATAGTTAGGTATCCCAAATCCAGGAGGGGTAGAATTTGCGGTGTTGGAAGACTGTTCCCAGCTATCGATGCTCTCCGAAGTATTGCTTTGAACCTCATGTTCTGCAGTAGAGGTGGGAAAGGTTCCGTTGCCTTCAACTGTTGGCACATTGACACTCTTGCCGAGGTATTTTTCGGCTGTCCGTTTCTCGATCATAAACATACGCAGTATGATATCGATGACGATGAGTCCAGCAGCCATACTAAACACAGCCATATAGCCGGCCTTGTCATAAACAATACCTCCAAGCAGAGGACTGATTATGAGGCCAACACTGGAACATGACAAAGCTGTGCCCATCCACTGTCCAATATTTTCACTTCCAACGGTGTCAACTAGTAGAGCGAGTCCAACGGTGTATACGATTGCAGCCGAAAATCCTTGGAACATTCTGCTAACGACAAGAAGCCATGCCTTCTTTGCAAACCCAAACAGTAGAGTTGCAGCCGCGAGGATGAATAAGCCAGCAAAGTAGGTGATAGATCTATCGGCAGTATGGTCCGCGAGCCATCCGCAAATTGGAGATCCGACTACAATAGCGGCACCGAAGACCGCGAATATGAATGATGTCCACCATTGCACTGTCTTCAATCAGCGAATGATCAAGTCTCGAAGTTTTCATACATACCTTCTTCTTCCGGCACGCCCGATCGTTCTTGTAGACTGAATGGAAGAACGGGGACTACCTATTCATTGTCAGTAACACTTGATATAGGTTTGGCTGCTCATCTTGTAGCATTATCTTTATGAACGGTATAAAAGATGAAACAGGGTGCTTACAACACCATAGAGGAAAGCATCCTAAGTCACGTTAGATATCAAAGACAGTACGGATCATCATTTGAAAGGCTTACTGTGAATATGGCGCAGCACACTGTGGTAAGAATAAACCAATCAGAGGATCGATATTCAAGAAGCCATGGAACCTTCTGAGGCTTTGAGCTTGCACTCTCGATATCGGCTGTCATCTTCAAAATTTTCCGGTTGTTTGATAATTTGATTCAGTATGAACAAAGACAGAGACAAGTTTTCGAATTCGAAAGTTGGCATCAATTTTTTCACAAGTAGAAATAGACACGTATGCACTAAACTTACATCATCTTCTCTACCCCTAAACAGATAATATTTTATTGCCAGGCCAATCATCTTGATTGCAGGCTCACGCCGAGGCTTCTGCCACTTAGTCCCCCCTCCATTGTACTTTTTTCAGCTTGTCCACTACTTCGGGTTGATGATTTAACGAAGTATATTATAATGAGACACTTGTCATCACTAAGCTATATCTGGTACAACCTTCTGACCCATTCGTATGGTCGGCGATAGAACCTATGGCTTGGTTGATGAATGATCGGCGGTCTCGCTGGGTTAAATGCAGGCGAGATTTTCTGGGACTCGCATACGATGTAGCTCACAACACCAAATAAACACAGTAAGTACAACAGAAAGGGCCGATGTGTTACCATACTAGCTTTGTGCAACCAGTCGAGTGGCGTACATGAGCCGCTTGGCACAAGTGACCAATGTGGGAACGCCGACATAATCGATATACCATTTAGAATATTGATACAGTATCACCATTTCTTGCTACCTATATACACAACCAAAATTCCACGATTGTCGAGTATCGCCCGTGAATATTACCTAAACGAAAGTACGCAAGTCATTAAGATGGGGGAACCAACGACCAACTCTGACATCACTTTCAAAGGATGGATGGGGCTTGACAAGAACGCTTTAATCGATGGGTTGAAGTTAGTTCCATTCGAGCCTAAGAAATGGGAAGAGACAGACATAGATGTCAAGATTACTCACTGCGGTCTCTGCGCAAGTGATTTGCATACTTTGCGAAGTGGATGGGTAAGAAATTCTATACCTTGTTTGATCTAGTCTGATATTATCTCGAGTAGTGGCCTACCAATTATCCTTGTTGTACCGGCCATGAAATTGTTGGAGAAGTAACCCGTGTCGGGAAAGCAGTTGAGCGAAATATTACGTTGGTACATCCTATAAGCACGTGAAATTATATCCATCTGACAGAGAACAGTATCGGCGATAGAGTAGGAATTGGCCCCATCATTTACGTTTGCGCCCAAAAGGATTGTACAGAGTGCAGCTCAGGCATGCCAAATTACTGTCCACGGAAAGTTGCTACATATGAAGGTTTTCTCCCCGATGGTAGCAAGACTTTCGGTGGTTTTGCAAATTATTGTAGAGTTCCGGGAATTGCCGCCATCCGTATTCCTCAAGCGCTGAGTAGCGTTGTGGCAGCTCCATTGCTCTGCGCCGGTAGTACCACGTTCGGTCCACTAGTGGAACGTCAAGGAAAAGGAAAACGAGTGGGAATAATTGGTGTTGGAGGTTTGGGCCATTTTGCTGTCATGTTCGCAAGGGCATTGGAATTTGAGCATGTTGTTGCGATTTCACGACGAGAGAGCAAACGCGATGATGCCATCAAGCTGGGTGCACATAACTACCTAGCTACCGAAGACGAGAAGGATTGGGCAGAGAAGTACGCAAAGTCACTTGATGTGATTGTTTGTACAGTATCATCCGCTGAGATGCCACTGAACAAATATCTGGGGTTACTCAGGACCGGAGGACATTTCTGTCAAGTTGGTTTGCCAGACGACTCCCTGCCGGCGTTCGACATATTTGGACTGGTCGAACGAAAGATCTCGATTCATTTCAATGATATACTCTCAACCAGGGGAACAGAAGACTTGTTAGAGTTTGTATTGAGAGAAAACCTTCAGCCATTGATTGAAGAACGAAAAATGAGTGATATAAACAACGTTTTGAAGGAGATGGAAGCTGGAAAAGCGAGGTATCGATATGTTTTGGTGAATGATGATTGAGCCAACTCAAAGAGCAAGCTCGATTAGATGGAACAATTTTCAGATTGATTCAAAAAATCAGATCAATTGGACATTTAGAAAAATTTCAATACGTGAAAAACGATCACTAGAAGGCGTGAAGTTGTAGTACCAGCTTCACCGCCTGGTTCTGCCATACAGTCAAGGCAAATCACGTGAATGTATTAACATCTCCCTCAGATCGCAAACCACTACTTTCAAAAAAATCGGATCATTGATAACACTTCAGAACTTCTCCAACCCTCTCAAATCAAGCCAAGGAAAACAAAAGAAAATATTGATGACCGTCACTATGATTAATAAAACAAACAAAGCTTAATTCCTAGCCTGAGCTCCCAATCCCTCAGCAGCTTCTTTGCACTTAATCAGAGCGCCCGCAACAACAGCTCTCACGTTGCCCTGTTCAAGCGCTAGTACACCCCTGATCGTTGAACCACCTGGAGTGGTAATATTCTCCTTCACAGAAGCTGGATGTTCTCCCGCCAACACCAACGCTGCACATCCTTTCATGGACTGTGCTGCCATGAGCGTAGCATCTTTTCTCGTGAGACCGAGTGTAACAGCGCCATCAATCAATGCGTCGAGGATGATTGCAAAGAATGCAGGAGTCGACGCACCCAATGCTGTGCAGGTATCGAAATTAGCAGCAGATATATGTTTAACCTTGCCAATTGATTCAAACAGCCAATCGATTGCAAGTAGATGATTAGCTAAAGTTGCCTCCGGGGTTTCGATGACGGTGATGGACTCGCGGACAAAGGAGGCAGTATTTGGCATTGCCCTAGCAATTGTAGCAGGATAATAACTCTTACCCCCTACAGATCGGAGTACGGATTCAATATCCAGAATCGTAACACCCGCAAGTAGACTAACGAGGACTTTGCCCTGTAATTGTGATCGGATAATGGTGGTGGCCAGACAACTTCGTAAGTCTCCGGGTTGGCAAGCTAATACTATCACATCGGCTTTGTCAAGAGGAGCACGCTGGTCGCCATGATAGATTGCTACCTCTGTGTCGTAAGCTACAAGGGAGAGTTCCAATCGTGCAGCAGAAGCAGCAGTGCGAACACAAGCCATGAATTTATTTGGTACATGGCGTTGGTTTGATACCGGACAAGCTGAGTTGGCTTTCTTGGTCTCTTCAATGTGCGTTAGTATCCCGCACAGTAGAGCAGTTCCAAGGCTTCCTAAAAGAAGTTAACTCTCGAATCTGACCTCAACGCCAATGGCTTTTTTAGAAGAGATCTGTACCACATCCTAGGATTGCTAGTGTCATCGATGCACCAGTCTCATTCGGAATTTTCTGCGATTCGGACATTTCTGAAGAATATTTTCATAACCCAAAAAAACTGATCAAGGTGCTCCCGTGTAAATTCGGAAATCTCGTTCCTAAATACCTTTCTTGTGCTTCGTGTCCCATTAAACTTAACCTTGCAGCTCATGTATCAGTCACTCAATTGGTACAAACCCTTGGACTCGAACAGAGAAGTGAGCATTCTATTAGTCTTAAATTGCTAGTGGTACGAGAAAAGTATGCTAGAATGATACCATAGCTGCAGACGGTGATGAGATGCTCCTGCAAACCTCCCTATTCTACATATTGTATTGGCTCTAATAACGGATGCTGTGCAAGTGCTCCGTCGTTGCCAATGTACACGATGACTTTTATCCGCAAAAATTCGGGCTGGTAGGTAGTACAAAGGGTAAAGGTGCAGCCGAAAGCCGAATGTGGCGTGTAGTACACAAGGTGGCTGGCTACCCGTATCACGATATCTCTCCGCGTTACCGAAAAGCCTCGATTTTAATTCCCTATGATTTCACGAATTTTGTAGCGGAGCATTTCGCTTGTTCCACGAGTCTCGTTCGACCTGAACATTTTCCGGCAGTAATCTATAATATATGACAGCAACGCGGAAGCAAGAGTGGCTTGTACCTTTTGTAGATAAAACGCCTTCGAGTCTAGTACTCTTTCAACCCGACGCTAGGAATCGTTACGCGTTTCCAGCATTACTCAAATATTTTAATAAATCCATCAATTTGAATGTAGGGATTCTAAAAATAAAGCATCTCTCAAGCATTAATTCACTGTCTCATTATTGATCTACCAATTGCACGAACACTCACATGCGAATTCACAAGCCCCCCGCCTCAGAATACAAACATTGCATACGCCCTCGAGCTATAGATTAGCGGGCTCGTCTATCTTCCCGAGTTCGCTCCACAGTACCTCCACCGATCCATCGTTAGCTGAGTCCGCATCGAGTCGGCGCTGTCGTGACGTAACTCTTTTATCCTACCATAGTAATATACACCCCGGTACATGGAACACGGCGCATCAATACATTCCGGAAAGTAGAAAAAGTCGAGGGAATGGCGGGAGATAGACAGACAGAAATGACACATACATACATACATACATGCGCAGCTCTAGACTTTCACATATGCACATGCATAAGCACAAGTGAAGAAACCACCATATCAACCATCCGCAGCTCAATCGATCTCACTCCCGTTCCCAAATCCAACCTTTCAGCAGTCTCAGATCGACGGGTTTTCTCGCTACACAGCTATCCTATCCTGTATCTACTCAGATATCCAAACCCCTATCCAAACCCAATATAAACATTCGATTCCGTGAAACGAGGGGTTTCTCACACCCTACACCCACCCACTTGTTCACACGCCGCTGCAGATTCAACCAAAAGGAAAATACACATACTGTTGATACATCCACAAAAATTCCCATTCCTGAGATCAACATCATCAGCCCATCACTAATGTCAGATTAACGGGTCCTATAGCGAGCTTCCGTGAGACGAGGGGCTTATCAACCCCTCCCCCCCCTTGAGTACATCCATCCACCCACCCACTCACCACTGCAGCTGTAATCAAAAGGAGAATAAACACATAGCAAATTACCAATCCATTCATCTATTCACTCACTAGCGTACAAACGAGAAAATAATCTCCAATGCCGTGCATAACTTACAAAAAGCTACCTAATCTAAGCAATTTTTTCTTTCGCCGCGTCGCGGGACATATTGATATTACTTACCTACCTACCTACCTACCTAAGTCACCTAGAAATCCAGCTACCCAAACTTCGCAGCCGTGTAACGATATCATATATCCCAGTCGGCAATTAGATTAACGGGAAGAATAATCACTAATCACCACCTAGTACCTATGCAGTCGAGAATTCTCCATACCCAAAAATAACGTCACGCAGATGATCAAAGATGTTCAAAAAATGTCCTATAGTGTCGTATTTCAGTACAAAAAATAAAATAAAATACAAAGATAAATAAGAGAAAAATATTCTGAAACACTACGCGCAACAATGCATGAAGGAGGATACAAACAAAGCAAGAGAAAGAAACCCAGAAATACCGTTGTGAGATGAATCGGAAGGAAGGAAATAATGTGGTGATCTGTATATTATCTTATTTCAGAACTCGGGATGGTAATGCGTATGTGTGTGTATGTGTATGTAGGTGTATGTAGGTATCAGCTGTATATCAACAAGCCATCATGATTCCCGCCGAGGGTGGATGTACATCTACACTTGTAAATACTACCTACTATATATGTACCGAAAGCAGTTTGCAATCCAACAAATCCATTCCACGAAGGAAAGAAGAAAGAAAGAAAGAGAGAAAGAAAAAAGAATCGTGCAACTACCTTTTAAACCTGTGATTCTCTCATCCCATCAAACTCATACCCACCGTCGCAAATCCTCACGCAATGTCCGATTCAACGAGTTGCCAACCGCAAGCTTGTTTCTTTCCCATCCTCGATTTGACGCTCGATCCATCTGCAGAGAGATACTGGCAAGCGGTCGAGATTCCCGTTCCAAATATCGCTCATTTGGATCGATTCTGTAAAGAACATGAAGTAGCTCCGTTGACTTTTTTCAAGCTTGCGTGGGCGCTTGTACTTGAATGCTATACTGGGAGTAGCTCTGCGGCTTTTGGTCACTTGAAACCGATGATATCAGAATCAAGTGTGGATCGGGGGTCAATCTATGAAATTGATGACATCAGCGATTTTCACGTCGAGCTCGAGGAGGCTGGTTGCATTATTGAGATTCTGCGAGCGATTCAAGCAGATTACTCGGAAAATGGAGATGCTCAATGTACACCTCTATCTGACGGTGAGCAAAGTGCAGGCACAAGCCTGTATAATACTGCTTTGCAGCTCGAAGAATCGCCAACTTCAGCCAACCTCAATTCCGCTCCCAAGAACCGGATATCGCCAGACAGTCATGTAAGTACAAAAAGACATGCGACTAGATTTCACGGCTAATTCAAGATGCAGATTGAGATACTACTCGATGTAAAGCTCGATAGTAGTACTGCCACAGGGCACATATATTTACAGCACCTCCCAGCAAAATTATCCACCATTGCAGCAACAAATGTGGCCCATACCTGTGCGGAAACGATTCAATGTATGCTGAGCGACCCATTTCAACCGATAGAGAGTATTGACCTTCTTACGAAACGAGACTTGGAACAACTGCGAGGGTGGGAACCTCAGTTTCCCGAGAGAGTGGATGCATGTGTACATGATCTTGTGCTGCGGCACGTAATATCAACGCCAAATGCCCCTGCAATATGTTCCTGGGATGGAAAATTGACCTACGACAAGTTAGAGAAGGCAACGTCAACTTTGGCATGCTATTTTATTGATCATGGTATTGGTCCAGAGGTTCTGGTGCCAATTTGCTTTGAAAAGTCTGTTTATGCGATATTGACCATGCTTGCAATTTTGAGAGTTGGTGGAGCATTTGTTCCATTAGATCCATCGCAGCCTAGAGAGCGACATGAAGCCATTATGAAGAAAGCGAACGCAAAAATGGTTATTTCATCGCCGCAAACCGAGCATAAATTCAGCGAGATTGCAATAAAAAATATAAGCGTCTCAGAAGGTCTAATGGCAACACTACATGTATCTCTTAAAGATCGCTTGCCAATAAAGGTCAAAACATACAGCACAGCTTTTGTTCTGTTTACTTCAGGAAGCACGGGCGAGCCCAAAGGAATTGTTCAAGAACATGGCTCCGTCTGCACAGCCTCACACTTTCACGGTAAAGCCTTTGGGTGGAACTCCAAGTCTCGTGTATTCCAATATGCTGCATATACCTTCGACGTAAGTATGATGGATATTTTCACTACACTCATGTTCGGAGGATGTGTATGCAGTCCTTCTGAAGATGACCGCCAGAACAATATCGTCGGTATTATGAATACTATGCAGGTAAATTGGGTGCTCTTTACCCCATCTTTAGCAAATTTGATCTCTCCTGAAGATGTGCGATGTCTTGAAATTATGGCACTTGGTGGCGAGGCAGTAACACAGGAAAATATAAACAGATGGTCCAATGATGTCGCTCTGTATAATTGTTATGGGTGTGCCGAAGCTTCCCCCACGGCATTCATTCAACTGCACTCAAACAATAGAGGCTCGAATCTTGGAAAACCGTTTGGGCAAGCATTGTATTGGCTGGTAGATCCAAAGGACCATAATCGCATAGTTCCAATTGGTGCGGTAGGAGAATTGCTTGTTGAAGGACCCACTCTCGCCCGCGGTTATATTGGTGACATGGACAAAACAAAAGCTGCGTTTATCAAAGATCCAAAGTGGCCATCAGAACTTATAGGGACGAGAGCCCGACGTTTCTACAAGACGGGAGATCTTGTACGGTACACTTCCGACGGATCTCTAGATTGGGTTGGGAGAAAAGACTTCCAAGTGAAAGTTCGAGGACAACGAGTTGAGCTTTCAGAGGTTGAATACAACATCTCAGCATATCCCAACGTTGCTCTAGCCATGGCCACAAGTCCTAAGATTGGAGCTTTTGCAAAATCTCTTGTGGCAATAATTCAAATCGATATGAGTTTGGAGCCGACTTCGGCTAACAACGTTCTCTCCTCGGTTAGCAACGACCGATTGTCTGCGGCGGGTTTTAACATTGCTGACCTTTGTCAATTTTTGAGGAATAAATTACCGAATTACATGGTGCCAAGTCATTGGTTTGCTGTTGAAAAAGTTCCCCTTTCTGTTTCAGGAAAGATTGATCGAAAGTCAGTAGAACATTGGCTTTCACAACTGAATCGTGATTCTGCAAATCCAATCCTTGCCAATGGCCTTTCCAACGGTCACACCAATGGGTCCGCCAATGGAGAAACCAATGGCACTACTAATGGTACCACCAATGGCCATAAAAACGGCCAGAACGGCACTTCCTTATCCAAAGAAAACATAGTCGCCTTCAAGATATCCAGGAAACTTGCCTCAATCGTCTACCACACCGACAGCCCGGCCAAATCGAAGCTGATAGACCACGACATTACTTTAGCAACGATTGGTCTTGATTCTATTCAAGTCATTAGTTTGTTGATGTTCGTCAAGCAAGAATTCGCAGTCAAGCTTCACATCAGCGTGTTGCTGCACCCAAAGGCAACAATTCGTAGTGTTACGCAACATATTGAGGACCTCAGAACTGTGGGTGTTAGTCAAAGTATCGAAAAGTCTGTTGATTTAAGAACAGAATTCCAGATGTATAAACGGCAGATGGATACAAATCGGTGGGGAAGAGATCCATCGGTACAAAACGTTTTCTTGACAGGGGGAACAGGATTTCTCGGATCTGAAATGCTGCACCAGCTCTGCACCCGCAAGAATATCAAGAAAATAATGGTACACATTCGTGCAAAAAACTTAAAGGATGGCCTGCAACGAATTAGAAAGGCAGCAATACAAGCACAATGGTGGTCAGATTCGTATCTCGAGAAAATAGAAGTGTGGCCTGGAGATCTTGGAAAGCGTCGCCTAGGTTTGAACTCAGACCAATGGGACTGCCTAACCGGAAAGTCAGATATCTCTCGACAGGTACATGGCATTATCCACTGTGGTGCCAAAGTGCACTGGAACTGCGACTTTTCGTCTTTAAAGGCAGCAAATGTTGATTCAACTTGGATACTCTTGAATGTTATGAACGAAACACCATCCATCTTGAAGTTCGTATTTATATCCGGAGGATACAATGGGCCATTATTGGCAGAGAAGTATCTTTACATGGACGACGACCACATCAATGACATCCTCCCTACTGAATACGCAAAAACAAAATTCATCTCACAGCGCCTCGTGCAAGAGTACTCACAGACCAGTATTCAGAATTCCAGTCGGGTCTTCGTTGTAAAGCCTAGTTACACCATTGGGACTCCCAAGCTGGGTATTGCCAATACCAGTGACTTTATCTGGAGACTTGTGGCAAGTTGCATAGAAATCGGGAGTTTCAATGAAGCAGACGCCGATTCCTGGCTTTTCATTTCTGATGTCGGTAACGTGGCCAAAATTGTATTAGATTGCTGTGATACAAAACAGAGCGCTTCTTCCGATCCGTATATTGGAATGAGTGAGGGTCTATCCGTTCGTGAATTTTGGTCTGTTCTGGAAAGAAATTTTGGCTACAAAATCAAGCCATTGAGACAGGATGAATGGCTGGATGCTATTTACGCCGACATTGACTCCAAGCATGAGAGCCACCCCCTTTGGCCTTTAATCCACAATTTGGAGAAGGAACAAGGAAAATTAGGCATGCCTATAGATGAAGTACCGCAGGACGTAAAACTCTCTACTCCCTCGAGGATTGAAGCTGCCATTCGTAAGAATGTTGAGTATTTGCGCGAGGTTGGCTTTCTACCAAAAACACATAAGTATTGATCTTGTTTATGAAATAGAGTTTAATAGTAATAGTATATCATATCGAAGCTCAATTCGCACAAGAACTTATTTCACTGCAAAATTCGTTTCGTACCTCCATACTCTGCCTTAATTCCTATAAGAGATCAGGAGGCTCACACATTCTGTGCAAGTCCAGAATCTATCAATCGTCAGCGCTCAGTTTAACTGTCTTCAGTGTTTTGGTCCTTCTAAGAAACAACCAAACAAAGACACCTACCAACTTGTATTTTCTGTCCTGTCATGCTGCTGTTCTTCGCAATATCCACGAATGCCTGAGCACAATCTTCGATGTCCGTCTGTTTTTCAGATTATTTAGTAAATTCTTTCCTTGACCGATCATTCATCACACGAAAATGAGTGGAGAAAAAAGAGGAAGAGTGAGATAGAAATAGGAAACTACTTACCACCCGTTTCAAGTATGCTTTATCCTTCAATTTCTCCTGATCTTCCTCCGAGTATGTCCTTCCCTGTGTAATTCTAGTGTCAGATTGATTGCAACCGTCATTAGTCAAAGATGTCACTTGTGATGACTCCCGCGTCTAATGTCTCCCGCAAGACTGCTTTTTATAAATTGGAATTCACGCCAAAACTACCCGCCTGTATTGGGAGAAACATAGAGGAAGATTATGACATACCCATTCTGTAAGTACCAAGCCCGGCAATACGGCATTGACTCTTACTTTTGGTCCCTGGGTAGCAGCCAAACATTTCATCAAATGTAATTGTGCGGCTTTTGTCACGGAATATGGCATGCAACCTTTTTTATAACTCATCAGCTTGGTCTCTAGAGATTCAGACCTTACCTCTGGATGATCACATGAAACGAGGCAAAGAGATAAACTATGAGACTTACTGCCCCCAGCAATGACACCTGCAATACTGCTCGTCATGATGAATACTCCTCCCTCATCGTTCGCCTGAAAGGTAGGCAATGCCTCTCTCAACAAGATAGACTGAGCTACCACATTTGTAGCATAGCATTTTTGCCAATCATCCGGGGTAGGAGCTGAAAGATCGGAGAATGTTGAGAACCGTGTATAGCCCTTAGTTATTAGAATTGCCCCTTTGAGTTGGTCAAGTTGGACGAAGAAGATTTGTGTACTTACAGCATTTGATATAATAATGTCCAGCCCTCCAAACTCCTTGATTGTTTCTTTCACAACAGAAATGCAATCGGATTCTTGACTCATATCCTATCACCGATGTTATCGTTAGCCTCATTTATCAAATTTCATCTCGTGTGTTTCACTATCATGCCCTCATTTGTCAATTTACTGAAGGTCACTTCTTCTTATTCCACTTCTCCTCTTCGACGCATAAGAAAAAGTTAACCTACACCCATCAAACAAATAACCTTGATTCCCCACTCCCTCTCCATCTTCTCCTTCATTTCCTGCGCCTTCTTCCCACTAGAAACATAGTTAATAGCAACATTACAACCCTCCGCCGCAAATTTGAGAGAGATGACTTCGCCTAATCCTCTTTTTCAGCCACGAGTTAGTATACAATATTACCAGCATACCAGCGTGTTTTGAGTTTGAGCGACGCTACAAAGATAACACATCAAGCGTTGGTGATGAAATGATTGTGGGGAAGTGCGGGGTTCACTCACCGGGTTCCACCTGTGACGAGAACGTTTCTGTTGGTGAGTTTGTAGGGCATCTTTGCTATCTTTGCCTTTACTCTATGGAATTGATTGAATTGGATGGGTAAAGATGAGGTGATAAGATTTGCGTGGGATTCTCACTCACTCTCAAGATTACTAGGTAGACGGATGGATGGTGGAAGTAAGAGGCGAGTGACTACGAGGTATTCGTCGGATGTTCCGTGCCGTTGTCCTTATCGGCATGACAACCCCTTACGATATCGGGAAAGACCAACCCCACGCATGACGCACATATGCCACGATTGTAGGACCCAAGGTGTGGTTACGGGTGTGGTTACGCTGTCTTGGACTGTAACAGCTCTTCATTATTTCGAGAAGTAATTAATGCGTACATTCTTGCCTTGGTTAATTGTATCATCACATCAACATAAATCATCATCACTCACACAAATCAAGAACAAGAGATTTACTGGGCAATCCTTCTATGCCTTTGGTAGTAGCTAAATAGAAGCTCTGACTGATAATACATCTGGACTTATAAACCGGTGCCAGCTCAAAGTAACATTTCATTTCATTCATACTCCTCATATCCCTGCACTCCATCCGTAAAGAGAGAAGATTGCAATTGTACCGATCCGCCGGCAATTAAATATCATAAGTTCTCATAAAGATGACATTTATGTAAGAATTTCATGCCACATCCAGCCCGTCAAGATCCAAAGATTACTTGGTCTTGACATCCTCATCAACACTGCTACTCTCCGAACTGTTTGTGTTGGAACGAGTAGTCTCTGGAAGTTCTTCGATCAAGGCACCATGGATGTTTTCCTCGAAAACTGGCTCGGTTTCAATTTGTTCGAATTTAGTCTTGAAATCTTTGAGACCGGCAGTATAAGAGCTACTGTTGGAACGACGACGAGCATTGGCCATATTGAAACCCTCATCTTGGACTTCTTCGCCATTTACACCCCTGTATTACGTACGTTAGTCGAGGAACTCAGAGTTATTCAAGAGAAGTAGCACTAAGACGATAAGGTGAGAATTGAAAGGAGTACTATACCATCCGCCCTTGCCAGCACCGTTCTTCTTGGCTTTCTTTGGATCGGCATCAATATGACCTGACTTTGCGAAATAACGAGGCAAATGCTCTTGTGGAAGAGCGGTACCATCGGCAAGGCCAGCATGGTCGCGATCATTGTACTTGTGTGATTTGCCCACTGGAAGAGGTTGATACATTAGCATATGCTCATATGAGTACAATAGTTTTATCATAAAAAGAAAAAGTTTCATCAAGAAAGTCGATAGTTTGGTTGGAGGGACAAGTGTGATAGTACTACATCAAGGCGGGGTATAAATAAAGCGACGTCAGGCCAAACTTACTGTTGAATGATTGCAGGCAGTGTTTGAAAAGGTACAAGGTAAGATAGATTGATGGTATTCGAAAGGCAGAGAAGGTTACTTGATGAAGATTGATTGAAGAGCTGAAAAAGTCAATGGATTTCTGAATGTGTTGTGAATAGAAAGAAGAGAAGATGAATTGATGGTTCTTTAAGAGGTTGAGGTTTGGATGAGTGTACCAAGAGAGGTTAAGGTTCACAATGCAATATTCGGTTAGATCGTCCCTTTCTCAATTCCATTGAACAATCACGCGACCTAGTCTGAGCCTCTTCATTAGTTGGATTCTGATGTACAAGTTCCACACATTGAAGAACATTTCAACGGATTCTTCGGTGTATTCTACTACGTAGGTATGTGGGTATGGGATCATTGGTATGTTGATACCATTTATACATGATTATCTGGCCATTTGATAGGTTCAAGTCATATCAGGTGATATCAAGTCATGTCAAATCACGCTTCCTTTGCGTCATAACCATATAATATTCGTACGTTCATGCACCATACCATCTGTCTAATATGGACTCATACCTACTCAAGAACAGCTCATCCAAACCATCACTCGATGATGGTTCTCTTTGTTCACCGCCAATGACTATAAAGCTACCTACCCAGTACTTATTGGTATCTACCAGCACTCCTTTACTTCCAAGACTTTCTTCATAGAATTGAATTGAATTGGACTGAATACTCATTACCTCTTCCAATATGATCCTGTGAAAGACTGTCCGTCCAATTGATTCAATGATGTACAAGTTTCTTTGTTTTACTCATTCCCCTCGGCGGGGCTGGGAAGTTTTCCATTTCTTTACTTTCTCTTCTTTCTTTGGTGAGCTTTCACTCAAAACATGTCATTTGAGTATCATTCGATTGGAATTCACCCTAGTAAATGCGGGGAATATCAAGCTAACGAGAAGCAGGCTCGGTAGGGAAGCGGCAGGGAAATGCTAGCGGCCCATTGCGGTGGTGCGGCAATTAGTAAAAAATGAATCGACCAATGATATGATATATGTCCGATGAATAATCTTGACCAATGACATACTGTTCTGGTGGATCTAAAATACCTTTTGCAGCAATTTTTGATCATCAACCAATAACGATTCGTCAATTCCAATAACCAGAGAAGAATTTCCCTTTCTCTCAATTGCTATTGGTCGAAAATACTGCTTAATAATTAAATTTCAAGAATTATCAAGAATTAGCATCTCCGAAACCCTTTGACAAACCTGATAAGAAATATTATTTACCCAAGCACCAGTACATAAGAAAGACACTGTGAAAAGTCTATCCTTCTCATATTACCCTTTTTTTAAGTTCCATCGTTTTCTCCAAGTATCGATTTTGTTGCCAAACTTGAGACGATTAGCACAATACTCAATCAATTTACTACGAAAATAAAGGGAGCGTTTAATCGCCACCAACGACCCCGCCATGGCCCCCTCTGTCACTATTGACAATACCTCCGATTTCAGTCCGATAACCACAAACTTCAAGACGACTTCATTCAATCCTCGCACATTACTCCTTGCCCCTCCCTCTATCGCTAGCCATGAAGAAAAACTAAGAAATGTTCTTGCTACCTATGATCGAACTGTTACCGATTTGCAGATGCTGGATCGTCTCTCTGCTGGATTAGTCACACTTCCAGAATCAACCTACGATTTAGTCCTCATTCTCACCGATGCCGATGGTACACGAGTCGAATCTAAAGGATTATTAACAAGAGATGTATTTGGAAAAATTACACAAGCTTTGAAGGCAGGTGCAAAGTTGCAGGCACAGGATGGTACCTTTGGACAAGAAATCGATGGCGCAGAATATCAGGAGGCTATTTTATCTGGTTTGGTAGCAGAAGGAGGGGTAATGCTCAAACCCGACTATAGTGCGAGTATTGCGGTTCCTCTGCGACTTCGCAGAAAGGACAATAGCAAGAGTGCAGCTGTTTCCAGCGCCGGCCCTGCAGTTTCAACAGCTGCGGTACCACTACATGGCAAGAGAAAGAGTGTAGACATGACAGATGATGTGCCAGAGAAGGACGTACCAAAGGTTGATTCGCCAAAGAATGATGCGCCAAAGGGAGTTGGCTTCATTGATTTCAGTGATGACTTTGATGCGGAGGACGATGACGATGAATTAATTGATGAAGATACTCTTCTCACTGAAGAGGATATGAAGAAACCTCTTGCTATTCGTAAGTAATTGATGTATCCTGTTTCGAAGTGTTACTAATACCACACAGCTCCTGAGTGTGCACCAAGAGCTGGAAAGCGTCGTCGTGCATGTAAGGATTGCACATGTGGCCTTGCCGAGAAGATTGCAAAGGAAGATGCAGACAAACGAGCCACAGCCGATAAGCAACTCCAAGCCCTCAAGCTTGATGCTGATGATCTAGCTGAAGTAGATTTCACAGTCCAAGGTAAAGTTGGATCTTGTGGAAACTGCAGCTTAGGTGATGCATTCCGTTGCGATGGCTGTCCTTACATCGGTATGCCGGCTTTCAAACCAGGTGAGGAGGTTCGACTTCTCAACAATGATGTTCAATTGTAGACACTTTTACTTCCTTCGAGAAACTGGGTTTTGGCGTCGTATCATTACGGGTGGAGTTGGGTGTTGGACTCGGAGTCATGCATAGAGTGATATACCCATTTGTGGGGCATAATAGCATTCGTGTTTTGATGCGGTATGGAAGGGAATGGATTGGTCTGTTATGGTATGGTATCATATATATGCACCAAGGTATCTGATTTGTTGCCGAAGGCCATGCAACATAGGAAAAGCTTGACGACAGACGGATCATCTATGAAGATCCAAGTCACATCATATGAATAAGATAGATTAACTGCATACTTTAGAATACCTGATCATGTTCATGCACCATACTTGTGAAACGTTATCTTTCCTCTTGTAATAGATTCTTTTCCAGCTGCTGACAGTCTCAGTATGCCTTCAGTTCAGACGAGGCCATGTTTACTGAGGTAGAGTGATCAATCAACCCTCAAACCTGTACTCTGCAGGTCAATGGCAGTGCTTAGAACTCAATAGATATATATCAATCTTTCTTTGCAGACCTCTTTACACTCCCTCAATCTCCTTTCCCTCATAAAAATTCGAATCGCGCGATCAGATCTCCTCACTTTCCCCACTTCATTAGTATGTCGATCAACATTCCTTATCAACCAACACCAGCACATCAATGATCACATCATATCTCATCACGTAACATAACATCGCAGCCACACCTCACATTGTTCTTTCGATAGATCTACACACCGCTATATGTGATCTTATCTCGGCGCACTTAGTACGCTTAGCAGGCTTAACATGAGTAGTCCGGATAATCTCCAGAAGCTGCGAGTTCCACTTCCCCGCTTGACCCCTCAAGTCCTCTACTCCCCCTCATTTGCATCGGGGCAGAGGGCTGGTTTTTCTGAACCATGATCGATATACTTTCTCACTTGTACGTCAAGCTTCACATGATGTGATTTTTGTGATGGATAACGGTATAGACTACCGATATTTGATGATTACGACCAGTGACGGACTCAGATAAGACACAGCTTCGTGCAGTGGAAAAACAAGAGTCTAGTTGGATGGAACAACTTGGTATTTAGTTCGGATGTTCCGATATATTCCTGTTATGGTCTTGAACTTCTTATTTTTCATCTGTTATTCATTTGTTGATGGGACTAGTGTTCAACAATTTTCCACAGAGGCGGGTTTACCCCTCAGTAGCTATGCAACAGAAAGATAAGAAGATATTTGTATAATGTTGATAGGTGAGTGGTGAAGGGTTTAGGGGATGATCCTGGTGCTTGAGGGGAAGCGAAGATGTCTAGAACCGAAAGGCCGGAGTACCCCTCTTGTAGATGTGCAACATTTCTTTCTTTCCGTGTTGATATATTCCGTGAGCCTCATCTGGAAAACATTGACTACTAAAGCCCCACTCCATTCAGTCAACAACTCATGAAGATTTCTGGCTCTCCGATACCTTTTCTTGAATGAGAGTGACTATTCAAGAGGTTCTACTTCTCTTGGGGAGACTAAATAGAAGGCTTGTGTACCTACAATCTTCTTGGCAATGAGGAGTCGAGTGATGATCTTTTCCCCGTCATGCTTAGTATACAGCATTTAGTGATCTGTCACATTGGCAATACGCATGTCATGCTATCTTCTACTTGGTCAACACTATTTAAGTTTCTGCAGCCCCGGTTTCTACAAGCCTGGGCGGGATGTTTTAACGATCCGAAAGTATATTCAAACTACCTGAGATGTGGACTTTGAGGTTTCTTGATAGATTTATTCTCTATCACATTAATACTCCGGTGATATCATGCTACTATCTGCTTATGCAGAGTCGAGTATGAAGCCTTCTCAGTGGTACCAGCTAGTCAAAGAGCAAGTTTCTGGGACTTTTAAAGTTTAAATATCATCATATCATATGCTCCTTTGTTGAAAGCTCTCTCACGATTCAGTCAATCCCAACTCTCCAATTATTGATCATGTGGAAAAATGATTATCCTATAACCCATCAAGGTTCTTCGAGGGTCTAGGCCTTCTCAGTTCCTCACTTCATGAGGAATAACGTTCAGACGTCAAATAAAGTTATAAGCATGGGCTAAAAACAGGTCAAGAGAGACGTATATAGCAACTATAGGAGAAAGGGGCACGACAAGATAGTCCTTGCCAACGTTCCTACAAGTCTTTGCTTGGCGATCTATACATGGCAGTTCATCCCGATCGACATGAAACTAGGCAGAACAGTCTCGAGAATTCTCTTCAACCCCCCTCTCTTACCCCTCTTCAGATATGCAACGGGAAAGTTTGTGATGGCGCAATATCCTATTAAGATTTAATCCCATACTGGTATCTCTACAGGTGGACACCACGACGCGTGGGTTTCTTCCGCGCGTTCAAAATCGGAAGCTTATTACACTATTGGTATTTTCCTTGTGGATATAGCGTCTTCAAAGTAGGAAGTGTTTATCATTACATGGCAATGTGAGTTCAAATTCTATATCAGATTGCAAATACCATATCATGCCCGTTTCACATATACAATAGGAAGCTTTGCTCCGTAGTTTGCGTTATTAGATGCCTATATCATTAGAAGTCAGCATCCGATATTAAAGACATAAAGAAGGAAACCCACATTCATCAACCCCAGGGTCTAATATCTTTCGATTTTGTTACCGCGATGGAAATGTTACAATAGTATAGTTTGGTATCAATACTCATTACCCATAAGCCCAGAATCCTCAGTCTTCCTAAAGGTTAGAATTATGGATAATTGAAGAAAACACATAAATATTTGTTATACCTAGCGCGCGATCGAACCATCTGCCTATCTTCCTCCACCTCCTCTTTAGATTGACAACATCCATCTTTCTTCTCTCTTCTCTTCCTTAACCATAAAATATTTTTTTAAGAAAATACAATGCTATACCGTTCTAAGTAACACACAACATCATGAAACGCAGTAGTATGACAGCTTCACATCTTCATCTATAGACACAAGTTTCAACAACTCATAAACCAAACAACCATCCTAATGTGCAAAGAATAACACCTAGATCCTAAAATTCCCAAAGATATGATTATGCCCAGAATCTCGATTAGCCATACCGACATCGAAGATCCCGCTTGTCGTTCTATAGTGATTTGTCTATTATACATCGCAATAGGTAGGAAACTCCCAGCTTCTCAGGTTTCGAAGATTCTCACCTTTTGATGAGATAGCTTAAGTACTTGGAGAAACTGAAACCGAAAGTGAAAGGGAAAAAAGTGAAACTTAATTTAGCGACGAAATACCTTGTTCTTGCATAGCAACTTCACATCCATCCATTCACTCGTCCATATCAAGTGGCCGACAACGCATATCTGAGATCTGGGATAAAAGTAATCATTTTCGAATTATGGTTCCTGCCATCTCCTAGTTGGTCGAAGCTATTTAGTAGGAGTGTAATAAGTCTAGAGATGTAGAAAGACTTTTTCTGGATAGACAGGATTCATCTATAATCCATTTCAAGGCTCTGAAAATACCTAGGTATGAGTAGATCTGCTATGGATAATTTCCATGAAGTGATAAGATTGGAATTATTTAAGAGGCCGGTAGAATCTGTTGGCTTGAAGATGAGAGAGCGTGAATGTAATTCCGAGTCGAAAGTCTAGAGAAATGAGTTATGTAGAGGAAATCAAGAGTATCGATGGATAGATAGATGTACACTTTCGATGTATTCTCGGTATACATATGTTCCTTCCTCTGTTTTGAAAGACACATAATTCTCGATTAAGAGATATCCAGCACTTTCCTCCTCCTCTGCGTATACTAACCTTTCACTTTTACTGATCAGACGAGAGACCGATCCGTTATATCGTAATATATCATGCTAAAATTTCATCTCGTCTCATGAATACTCTCTAAAAACCATCCATCCATCCAACTACACATCCACCAAATGCTTACACGGATGCTAGTACTTTCTCACACATGCAAAGATAATGTACGAATTGGTTACAATTCGTCATAAAAGGCTGATTACTCTTCTGCAAGAGGAGATCTCATATCATGAATCGATACACGAGACGCAGATTGTACTAGAGAAGGTATCAACTCCTACACAACAATACCTCCCTCTTCTTCTCCCTGGCTAATACCTCGAATACTCAAAAATGCACTTACTTTACCATAGCCCTTTCAAAAATACAGCATAAACATAGAGAAAAACCCTCTAAACTCGTAATAACATACCCCCCCCCCCCGGTTTTCCCTCTCTCACTCTCCAGTATCTTTCCATTTCTTTCGCATCAGAACTTATAGTTCCGATCCCCGGGAAACATCACTACATACACAAAACCTAAATCTCCCAAGGCATCTAGTTTGTTCTTCAAACAAAATATCACATGTGTTACTCATCTATTTCGTATCTCAATCTTCATCTATCCATCTGCCACCGAGAAAATAAATTCAAAATTCAAATACCTAAATAGATCGTCTCATCCCCTCCCCTCTCATCTCATCCGATCTATACCACTTCTCTCTGTCTGTTTGTACATACAATAAAATAACGATGTACATCTACAACCCAGAATAATCTCCATCTCAGCGCTCCAGCTACGTTACTCATCCCATCTACTTTTGAAAAGAGGATCAAACTCCCAACGCCGAATAAGCGAAGGATCAAACGATGTATGTATGGATGGATGGATGAATGCTCCTTCTGTTCTCTTTCTTCTCTGATAAATGATATAGCGCATATCATAGAAAAGACAAGCTAGGAAATTATGATATCAGATCATATCCCATCCCCATCTCTACCCCAAGAACCCTCATCATCTACCCACAATCTCTCAAGCGATCTAGACTTTCCTTCTCTCCCCTTCCCTCCTTCCTTCCCCTTCCCTATCCACCATCCCATCCCATCCACCATCACCGCTCAATCTCAAGAAAGAAGATTCCTACCCATCTACTACCCATCTATAGATACCTACCCGCACGCCCCAAACCAACTCCAAAAATAATCTCCAAGAAACCCATCTCAGGAAATCTAATTACTTACTTACTGTGATGTAATAATACACATCGGCCATTAACCAAGCCCCTTAACTTATCCAGGAGTTTATATAAAGAAGAATATCTAATAATCTTTCTCCTTCTATACATTCACTCCCATTTAACTACATACACAGCTGGCCTATCTCCTATTAACACCCCGTTTCCTCAACCCTCTCTCTCTCTCCATCTCTCCCCCCCCGCCTCTTCAAACAAACCACAAACCAAAAATCACAAATGAACCATATCCCATATCCTAAAGATCTCATTCACACAACACAAGATACTAAAATTACAATATATCATCCATCCATTGATCCATCCATTATTTCTTCCCCATCTCGTCTCGACTAAATCTCTTCTTGATTTTATATATACCATCTCATTCTATCTCATCCAATTCCATCCTACACTCTAACCCAATACCCCTCCACCCCTCCATCCCACTCACTCACTCTCAAATCTCAAATTCCCAGCCACAGCAAAAAGATACTGTACTGTACTATACTTTGCTATACTACAATAAATACACTATACCACACAAAATCAGATATAATATACAACACACAGCATAAATTTCCAGAAAGAAAGCTAATAAATCACTCAATAAATTTTGCAGATAACAATGATAATGATATATGATTTGGAATTGAATTCCTTCAATACCTACCTACCTCTACCTACCTACCTACCTTGTATATCATCATCATCATCAGCACCATCAGCACCATCAGTACCATGATACAGCACCGTGATACACCACATACAAGTCATTTCACTCCTATATCAAGTAGTCACAAAAAAGATAACAAAATCAGAAAGCAAGTAGATAAAGAGGTAGGTAAAAAGGTGTCTTAACATTCAATTAAAAAAAACTAAGTAACATCGAATCCTCAACCACGAGATCCTCCAAATGCCCCATCCTTCATCTTCAGCAAAAGCAAAAGACGAAAACTCAGAGCAAAGCAAGCAAGAAAGCAAGAAAGTAAAAGACAGACACCAAAACCAAATCAAACCACGAACTACCTAAGTATCTCGGTAGCAGAAAGAAAAAAAAATCATAACGTCATCAAGGATCTCTAGCTCTAGCTAAGCGTAGCGAGCGAGTCCCCCCTTCCATCTATATCCATCCATCCATCAATCAATCGCTCCATCAAATTAAAATTTCCTTACTTCTCACATGTGAGAAAACCTAAACGGCGACTTTCTTCTCTCCCCACACATCCTCACGAAGACTCATCCACAACTCCTTCAAAACACTCTGCTCACTATCTCTTCCTACAAATCTCTCTCTCATCTCGTCTCCTCTCTTTCTTACTCCCTCAACCCACTGACCCAAATCCACCGCACTCTCCGCCTCGTTACCCACCATCTCCGTTAACACATTAACCTGTGCAACCACCTCTTCCGGCTGCGCACTCACGATATGGACTTCCTGTTTAGGAATCGCGGTATCGATTGATTCCTTGATTGGTTGAGAGGCATAGTAGTTATCAGGAAGAATGGGAACGCGGACAGTAAATGCAGTGAGAGGTTCTTCAACGGGAAGACGAGGAAGAACGAGATAGTCGAGAGTGGAAGGGGAAGCGACGGGACGAGCGGCGCTGGTGCGGAATCCTTGCATGAGACGGATGGTTTTGATAGAGGGGGGAGATGGGCGATGGGTGGTGGTGATTGTACGTTCATGGGAGAGGTTGGAGATGAGCTGATTGATGAAATGAATGGTTAGTTTTGGGGGTTTTACTTTGGTTTCAATTTTATTGCGGAAGAGATGGGGAGGAATTGAGATGGATATACATACATCAGTTTTGATAGCACTCTTAGTTTTCAATTGTGCACTAGGACTTGCGACAGTCGAAGTAGTACTCATACATTTCTTCAACACAAGTGTGAATTTTGTAACGGGAGGAGTAACTCGAGACATATTGATGAGATGAGATGAGTGAGATGGGATAAGATAAATCGACGATTATAACTTGATGAATTGGGGTTTTGGTAAGTCAGAGTGAAGATCTAGAAGAGCTGAAAGTCCGTCGTTTGTATATCGATAGACAAATGCGGAGTATCGGCAGATAAGATGATCAAAGTGTGGTTACACAAGGAATCTTGAGTGCGTTTGTTTGCTGGAACGTGGATTTATATGTATAACCAATTGGAGAATCGGGGTGAAAGATGCAGATGAAGATGCAGATGCTTATAGGATTGGAATACGAGAGAGGGAAGACAATGACTCGAGAATGAATATCAGAGGAAACAAGTAGGTGGATAGGATAGACAATATAAAGACAAGATATCAATCAGAGTTCAATTGAGAAAGATAAATTGAGTCAGAGTACGTGTAAGAGTGAGAGTAAGAAGAGATAGAGAAAAAGAGTCATGAGATAGCTACACCGTCTTTGTCCTTTATACTTTTACATCGTCCATACATTTTAACCTTACATACCAATACCGACACCTTTCATTCCACGGACGGCGGTACTTGAGACGAATACTTCCTATCATGGATATGGATATGGATCTCATAATCATAATCATAATCATAATCATATTATATCAAAACTGTTGAGCTTAGTTATCAAACCCACCTTCCCCTTCCCCTTCCCCTTCCCCTTCCCCTTCCCTCCCCTTCCCTTCCCTCCCCTCCCCTTCCCTTCCCTTCCCTTCCCTTTCCCCCATTCAAGGTTCGGAGCCCGGTACCGGTACGACTTAAGTTGCAATACGAATCTACAATAAGCTGAATCAAATTCCAATCTCAGTCACACACACGTGGATTCTCATTTAGCCATTACCATTATCCAAACTTTAATTGATGTGCAAGACTATGTCCTGACTACAGATAGACTACATACGCACTACATACGCACTACATACGCACTACATACAGACTACACACTACGGAAGTATATTTGATTCGATATGCCCTCTCACCCCAGTCAAAACATATCAACTTCGCAAGGCGAAGCACAAGAAGGTTACATCCCATTGTTTCCCCGATGGGATGGTGACAAAGTTATGGAGCACAAGTCGAGTCGCAAGTCGCAAGTCACAAGTTTCAACCATCCATTCTTCCATACATGAATGAAGCTCAAGAAACCAACTACTAACCACCCAACTAACCACCCGACTAATCCTCGAGCTTCCCTCCTCAAGGTTTCCCAAAAATCCCAAGGCATTTCCATCCAAATATCTAACCTTCTAACCTTCCAACCTTCCAAACCTTCCAAAACCCATCCCTCAATAACCTCTCCACCGTCCGTGTCCATCAAAGTGACATGGCTAGCTCCAGTATAAACATCGACCCATCCCTCAAAACAGTAAGAAGCGGTGGAGAAAAGATCACCCAATAAAAAAGTGGATAGATATGCAATCCTTAGCATCTCTATACCGCTTCTAAGACACCGTGGACACCAAACCACATTATCTTAAACCTAGGCATGTATTTATTTATAAATGGACGATCCATTGAGGAATTTTGTTGAGAACTGGACTTTTATTTCATCTACCTTGCGAGCTATGTTATGCTATGCTATGCTATGCTATCACATTCATCACCGCCTTCTTGGTCCTCTCACAGTGTCCAGAGTACACATCAACGATCAACAAAAAGGGGGCACGGGTGGAGAAACGGCGTAGATCAGATCATAGTGTACGAAGAAGTATGTAAATCTTGGTTGATCCTTGGTGACTTGTGAATCGACATGATTGGAAATCCAATTGTAGAGATAGGGGGTTTAGATTGGTGGTCACTGGTCTGGAATACTGAAGTCCGGGGAAATGTAATCCTTTGGTCCCGGCCGGGAAGGGAGAAGCTGTGGTTGATACTTGAGAGGTGGCTTACTTGGTGCTTATTGTTTGTTTGAGTGCTGTATGTATGTATGTATGTATGTATGTATGTATGTATCTATGTATGTATCGATGTATATACCAGTATCAAGGATTTAGTTTCAGTCAAACGACATGTGTACAAACCACGTATCAAACAAACAAAAAAGAAAGAGAACAAAAAAACAGAACAAAACAGAACGAAACGAAACGAAACGAAACTTATCACCGTGTAGAACTATAATACTGTACCTAATAGGTAATTGCATTACCTCGAAAAAAGCAGGTAGACAGGTAGATGGGTGAGAACCCATTTCCAAATTATACTCTGCAAGTTTCACCAGAACTCAGATACTTCATTCGTATATCACACACATTTACTGGCCCCGAGTTACACACAATACAACACAACACTATACAACACAGTACCACACCTAGATACATACATGAATCAAACCATAAACTCTCTCCTTCCTCTTCCCAAGCCACCCAGCTTAGACCAAACCCTCAATTCCCTTCCACCTTGCAACTACCAAGCTACCTACCTATCTCTACTTTCCCACCAGCCTTATCTCATCCATCCATACAATTCATACAATCCACACAATCCCAATCATCCCAGTCATATCAACCATATTGCTACAACAATACACAATCCAATCCAATACCATCCAACACCACCCAAGTCCCCCTCGCCCCTCCAAACACAACCCAGCCAACCCAACAGTCTCCTCGCAAACCTCCATTCCATTTCATACCATCCCATTCCACTCCATTCCCCGAATTCAAACCCAAAACTCAAACCCAAAACCCAAGTCCAAAACTCAGAATCACGCACCACCAGCCTCACAAAGTATAACCAAACCAAACCAAACCAAACCCAACACAACCCACTAACCCCACTAACCCCCTCAACCTCAATCTCTACTCCTCAAGACTTAAAACTTACAAATTCACAAATGTACAAATAATTCAGCAACAAAGCGAGGATCCAAGACTTTATCTGATCCATATACTAACTACCTAACTATCTAACCACCTACCTACCTACCTAATCAAATAACTCTAATTCTATTTCCTATTCCTATTCCAATTCTCTTCCTCTCTAATCCCATCCTATTCCAATTCTCTTCCTCTCTAATCCCATCCCATCCCAATCCAAGACCATCCTCATCTTCATCCTCGTCCTCGTCCTCTCCCTCTCCTCTCTCCCCCCCTTCACCAAGAAGATACACATCCACATCCACATCCACATACCACCCCCCTCTCCCCGCTATAGCCCAATACCTCACACGCACACACATTGATTCATTCAACACCTATCTCTTTTCTTGTCTTGACACAACACAACACAACGGACACACGCATCTCAAACCCACTCCCCACTCGCAAAGCTAAATAATCAAATTTCCAAAACCTCAATTATCCATATCCATATCCCATATCCATTTCCATTTCCATGTCTCCATTTCCATTTCATCCCTCCATTTCATTCATTCAAAACCCAACATCACACACTCACTAACCTCCCTAACAACCTTCTGTAATAACCTTCACCTTCACCTTCACCTTACCAATACCTCACAATCTCCCTTAGCACCTTAGCACCTTGGCATCTTCCTTTCTACCCTTGGTATCGATACCCATTGATACATAGGTAGGTATCTTGGACATATGATCAACACACAATATTACATAGCGATCTTAATTAATCAAGTGGGCCACATCAGACAGAAAGACAGACTTCTTTAAATGTCTCTGGAACATGTCAATATCAAAATCAATATCATGGCGGGGAAGAAAAACAAATAACGAAAAGCATAGATGAAAATAACAATAACAACGTCCAAACGCAACATTCAAAAACAACATTTAAAACCCCATCAAAAAGATCAGAGACACGGAAAACAAAATTCTAAAAGTTTTTTGTTATTGTTATTATTCTTCTCATCCGTAAAACGGACATGGTCATAAGATCTCTTTTTGCGTTGAAAAGGGTATCCCTAAGTAATAAGTTATGCTCTTGTTCTCGCTCCCGCTCCCGCTCCAGGTCCTGACTCCTAATGCATCAGTGACACCACCCAAAGCTTCTTGCATAAGCCTCAACTCACTTCACTTATATTTATCTGCCCCACCATAGTAGATCTGCCCACTGTAAACGCCGCGCTATGCTAAATTCGCATCACAATTATATTCCCCTCTCCACTTCCAGACGCTCGATTCGAGTCATCCCTCGATAGATCCGGGGATCAGTCTTTTACCGTCTCTGCCATATTTAGATGTCTTTTACATCTCGCTATTGGCCTTCACGCCATCGCGTCGTCTCATAAATGACCGAGGTATCCAGCCCCGACACATGAAATATAGTATCTCATTGCCTTCTTCAATCATTCTTCAATCAATCTTCCAATGCCCAGTGAGAGATCCATCCATATCTTCCTTGGCTAAATATAGCTCCAGAGCATAAAGAGCCATGGTTGCTGAAACATTAATCCAACGCCATATATTACCACCAGTATTACCACCTTGCATCATCCACCATTCACCCATATTTCCCTCAGAAGTGACAGAAGAGAAATGTTGCATCAATAAGCTAGTATAAACAGCTATCAAAATTGAGGGACTAAACCAGCTTAGTAGTCCTAAGATTTTACCCTCTCCTTCGCTCTCGTCAAGACCTATATCCTGAGACAGAGCTCCAACCCCAGACTCTCGTATCGCTGGTATAATCCGGGTGGCTGCATAGAATACAAAAACCCGAAATGCAAGCGATATAATGATCGAGGGAGTGATTGTCTGGAAGGCTGCGTATAGAAAATAAAAGCTTGAATGGACGAAAGATGGCATTGTTGATAAAACACTTAAAAGAGTGGAGTAAGAAGCCATGATGATAGGAGGAAATGGTGGAAAATCGGGTTGAACGGGTGCTTGGGGGATCTCATCCGTCGCCGATGGAAGGTAGTCGGTGAATATTTGATATATGCAAAGTGTGCAATAAGCGAAAAGTAGGGAGCTCTCCACTGGATTGCCTCTACCACTTCCGATTCCCCATGCACACAAAAATACTGCGCAAGTCATAGTGATGCCTATGAGTGTAGCATCAACGTTGCTGATCTGCGGGAACCCCGTGATACGGAGTAAGAAATAAACAGCACTTGAAATAATTGAGGCTGATAGCACAAGGAGCCCAATCTAAACGTTTCGGTAAGCTTAATTACTCAATTGAGAATTCGAAACATACCATCCATGAATCACTTCTGCGATTTACAAGGTATCTTGTAATTTGTCCCGCTGCTTGGATGACCAAAAGAGAGCAAAATCCTTCTGCCATTTGAAATCTGTCATATGGTTAGTTTTGTAAAAGAATCTAGAGTGTTCCTCTAGTATAGAGTGGCTCTTCGACTGGCAAGATAGTTTCTTCGGAGTCGATAAAAACACTACGCAAAGAGTAGCCATCTACTTACAACGGCGTTGAATATCGTAGCACTTTATCCCATGTTCCAACTGTCAACATTTCGAGAAGACCTCCATAGCCAAAAACCCATTCTTTTAATTCCTTGTCTTTCGCACGCTTGCCATCAAAGGTCCTAGTAACCCAGCCTCCATCACTATCAGCGTCTACTGCAAATCGATTCATGCTCCATATTAGCAACCCTGGGAGTATTATCCACTGCGACCACCCGATAAGTTGTATTAATGCCCATCGTATCCTGGAATTATCAGGCGTCGTTAATTTCAACGTCGAATAGAATAGGTAGAACTCGAAAAGGGCGAGGGAAAATGCCAGCCCGCATTCTCGACCTCCAACATCGAAAGCTATAGGTATGGAGAGAATTATCGACAGGAGGAAAGTCGCAGAGGAAAGAGCTCGGAATAACCACATCGGCGAGAACGACGCCGGCGCGTGCTTGACAGCGCGCCCAGCTTTAAAGATAATAGAAGTTTCGAATGATCTTTGCCCTGGTAGGCTCTAAAAGTCGCGTTGAACACGCCCGTTTGAAGATATGTGATTTTTGATATCCTAGCTTCTGCCAAACAATAAAATCAATGTTTCGAGAAAGGTACTGAACCTAAAAAAGTACAAGGCCACTCTGATGACGTCTTGGGACCAATATGTGAAATCCCCTTCCCAGATTTCCCTCGTAGCTGTTGTTGCTTGTCGCAGAATGATTTGGCAATTTATGCGTATGTGAATTCTATAGTAAACGGAAGTACCGAAGGAGAACGGAGTCGGTAATGAAGATGGTTAAGTTCTAGACAATTTCCCAGGAAAATGGACTTTGATAGAAAGGGAGACGATGGTCGCCTTGATTGGTAGCTCTACTTGGATCTTAATCCAATGATTGTTCTTGTCGCGTGCGTACAATGACGGGGATCCTCCGATAACAGAATTTGGTCGGATTGTGCCTGGTTTTCTCGATAGAATCCTGCAGGAAATTGGGCAGCTTGACAAGTTGGAAATATGATAGCAAGAGGAGCTTTTGTAGAATTTGACGGGCAAGTTCTTGTCACAGAAGATGAACGATCAGATTTTGGGAGAGAAATAATGACAGATATTCCAGTTTATTTGGGAATATTTGTACCAGCATGGTAAATTTTGGGAAATGAAGATCGTGGGTAAATTATGAGAGGATGGGATGACAACGCACGTGTGAAAAAGCTAATGTTTAAGTGGGGATTTGCCAGCTGTTACCGCTCTCATTATCATTTTTGTAGATTAGTCTGGACATTTTGGAGGAGTCCAATGCTTGGAGAAACTTGGACCCAAAATTTGACCCCTCCTTCTATTGACTTTTCCAATCACGAACATAAATCATCATTTTATTACTAGTACTAGCTATCGATTTTGTATGTTTAGAAATACTATCAAAATGGCAGAAACAGCAGCAAAAAGACTCAAGACCTCTCCCGTTACCATCGGTACTCACAATGGCCATTTCCACGCAGATGAAGCCTTAGCTGTTTATATGCTTCGCCTTCTCCCAACTTATCAATCTTCAGAGCTTATTCGAACTCGGGATCCTAAACTTTTAGAGACTTGCCATACCGTTGTTGATGTCGGAGGCGAATACAACGACGAGACCAAGAGATATGATCACCATCAACGTACTTTCGATACCACATTCCCAAATCGCCCTACCAAACTGTCTTCTGCGGGGTTAGTGTATATGCACTATGGCAAGGCGATTATTGCACAACATCTAGGTGTCACCGAAGATGCGGAAGAAGTTGCTGTCATCTGGAGAAAGATTTACGAAAGCTTCATTGAAGCACTTGATGCTCACGATAACGGCATTTCAGTCTACGACCCAAAAGCCATTTCCGCCGCAGGCTTAGAGAAGAAGTTCAGCGATGGAGGATTCTCATTAGGTGCTATGGTATCCAGATTGAACCCAAACTGGAATGACCCCACTCCATCTGATCCTGTCGAGGCTCAAAAGGCAGAAGATGAGAAATTCTTGGTAGCCAGCACTAGAATGGGTGAAGAATTCTCCAGAGATTTGGATTACTATACAAAATCATGGTTACCAGCACGATCAATTGTTCAACAAGCATATGTCAAACGCCTACAATACGATTCGAAGGGAAGAATATTGGTATTTGATGGTCAATCTGTTCCATGGAAGGATCATCTCTACACACTTGAAGATCAAGAGAACAGCGAGAATAAGGTACTCTACGTTCTCTACCCTGAGAGCCCACGTCCAGATGCGAAATGGAGAATCCAATGTGTACCAGTCACCAAAGACTCTTTCCAAAGCAGAAAGCCATTGCCTGAGGCATGGAGAGGGTTCAGAGACGAGGAATTATCTCAAATTACTGGTATCCCAGGAGGAGTTTTCGTTCATGCAGCGGGATTCATTGGAGGAAACAAGACTTTCGACGGAGCAAGTAAGATGGCAGCAACAGCTGTTGATTTGTGATATGCACGAAGGTCACGAAAGACATTGTTATGAGGCGTTTTTCGGTATCAAAAGCCAAGAGGTTAGATAGGGTCACGAAATATAGAACCCATATCAATGAGTTCATACACATCGAAATTTAAAGAAAATGACTGGATATATTGACAGCCTTTAAATCCATCGTTTCGTATTGGCATATAGCTCGACTATCATAGCTGGCATAAAAAACGAAAATGTACAGAGAATGCTCCATCCCCTTAAACCATCAAGACCATCATCATATCATTGAATAGCCCAAAACGCCGAATCCCGCGCGCACGCACACGTAGTAAATTCTCCCACAAAAACATCCTTAACCATTGATTGGAATACCTCCCTTAACAACTGGTGGACTAACACTGCCATCTCCCGCTTGCTGTGTGTTTCCATCATTCTTCTTATCTGCCTCATCAATGCTTGTCTCGCGATGTAAATAGCTGCTCTCTTTTACTGGACTTCCACTCTGCTGACCCAATCCCAATCCCGCAATGCTACCATGATGTGCAGAGCCAGGTCCTACATTTGTATTGCCAGAACCACCTTGTGCGGCATTGCCAACGCTGGGAGATGAGAGATGGGGGATATTTTCTGGAAGAGGATGCTCAGACCCAACGCTACCAGTGTCGACGGAAGAAGCCTTGCCGGCTTTGGAAAGTGCATAGTCGCCAGAATCGAAGTATTTACGTTCCTTGAGTTGTTTGGCTAAATGATCGGCTTTGCTTGGGAGTTTGCCATAGAGGCGGAAGAGTCGTTGCTCATCCGGGGAGAGGGACTGCGGGGTCGGAGAGTCAGTAAATCGAATGGCATAATAAATTTGAGCTGAGCGAAGAGAGAAATTGAATGGTTACTACTTACTGCAATATCGATCTTGTTCTTTTGCAAAGGGTTCATCTTGAAGATGGAATGAAATTCGGGCGAGTTTCTTTTGAATTTGGATTGGGAGAATTCGGATGTATTTCAATGGATTTTCACGAATTAGATAGTATAGATTTCTATATCCCTATCCGAAGTCGAGATTATTTTGTAATCAAATGGTTATTTACCTCTCTTTCTTCTTTGTCGTTCGAAAGATATACTACTGTTGTACTCTTTAAGTAACCACAGCAGGTGCGAGCGATTGGGTGTAGATTTGCGGTCAATGAGTGGATTCAAGAGGGAGTGGTGAATCGAATAGAAAGAGAGACAGATTTGAAAGATTGTATTTCAAGGTATTTGAGTAACGATTTGGAGTGAGAAATATAGAGATCTTATGATTTTGGTTTGGAATTGAGTTGCACAAGAGAATATTCCTTGGAGGGGAAAAGGGTATTATGAACAGCTCAGAATGACCGATAGCGTTAATGGGTGTGTTAAAGGTATGGGTATGGTGGGGTACACTTTTTCGCTTGCTTGGCTGGGCTCAATTGCAGAATTTCGAAATCCAGACCTTTTTGCAAGAGGGAGAAAAAAATCTGACGGAACAGCTGAACAAGATTCAGATTGAAGAGTCAAGATCAAAATTCAATATCAAGAAGAAGAAGCAGAAGTCGGGAAGTGAAGTAGGAAAGACACTATCGAGGGTATCAAGGTATACTATATCATTCTAATCAATGTACGTATAAATATATACTTACATATACTTACATCTCTCTCCGTTGAGTGGTTGCCTTTCTGTATCCCCCCTTATCAAACTGGCACAGAACTACCAAGGGATATGTATCTGTCTAACCTTGTATCCTTTCTTCCCTTCTTCCCTTTGCCCCTTGTAAGCCACGCATACATCCTCTTTCTACTGCCGTGTATTTACGGAGTAGATGCGCAAAGATCAACCTGAGGACTCAAGGAAAAGGTTAATTCGATTGGCTTTCAAAGTTCTCAACAGACAATCACGAGATCAATTTCATTCAGATCCCCGCACATCTTTGCATTCTTTTATCTTTTTTCCAAAGTTTGGAAAAAGCTCCTCGCACAAGGGGTAGTCTCCTGTTACCACGAGTCAGAGTCCAATAACCATATACGATCATCGATCATTTAGCCATCCCTTGGGACTCTTTACCCCGCAACAAACCAAAACTTATTTCACCTGAGCCACCATCTACTGGGGATTATTTCCGATTCATTGCTCTGCTTTTAACCCTTGCACAATTTCCTATTGGTCTCTCCTGTTAATCAAGCATCAAGCTTGAAATCTACATCAGTATCCAGCTAAGATATCTATCTAAAGATGACCCAAAAAACCTACATCGTCGAGCACCTCGATGACGAACTTGGACCGTGGTCTGAGCTTGAATATATCACCATAGCCAAAGAGTCCAATCAGGCGGGTGCAAAATTTTGCCTGTCGTCAATTCCTCCCACCTTGAACATACCCGAGGTCTTAAAGGCCGTGCCGGGTTTCACTGCAGATGGCCGGAGTGTCGAAACCTTATATGTCGAAAACAAGTCTCGTGTGTGCTTGCTTGATCCAGCAGCCACCAAGGAATTGAGTCCAGAAGATGGCGACCTGTTTGACGTTTTCCTTTTTGGCGGAATCTTAGGTTGGTACACAACAGTTGCCTTATCTACATAAAGTAGTTGCTAATATGCTGTGCTCTAGGAGATGATCCACCTAGAGATCGAACTTCTGAACTGCGAAAGAAAGGCTTCGAAGGCCGTCGCCTTGGCCCCATCCAATTGACAACTGATACTGCAGTTCGTTGTACAAGAATGGTCACTCAAGATAAAAGTCAGTCAGCTGATTCGGCCTGCCCTCCATCACTCAGACGCTATATGCTGACTTTTTTGTAGTTCCGTTGGACAAGATTCCTTACGTTGACTACCCAGAACTTCGGGTCAACAAGAATGAAAGTACAGAAATGCCTTTTCGTTACGTGAAGGACGCCGAGGGAAAACCCATCATGCCAGAGGTAAGCTCACAATTCTTGACATAGCTTACCTACGTGTCGAATTAATCAAATACATAGGGGATGGTTGAACTTATTAAGAAAGACACGGAAAAGGGATTTGGTGACATGTTTTAGGAGATTGTACAATGGAAGCTCCGTGAGATATCTGACTATGAACAACATTAGCACATGGTAGCAAAGTGTTATGGTATGCCGCCGCGTTATTTTCATAGCTCCAAGTGAACATCAGGAGTCTAGAGGCCAATATGAGATCGTTCCCATCAAATGTCGTTCCGCAGTTCTAGAACCTAGCTCACTTGAGCTTTGGAAACATTGAGCAGGCGAACACGTTTCGCCAAGAGACTGAACATAGGGGTGTAAATAATCATAAGAAATGATAGAAATACAGGCATTAGCATCTTTGGACTACAATTAGCAATTGAGTTTTCCCCTCTACCAAAGTATAGACAATGTTGGGCTTCAGAGGGTTCTTCTAGACCAAAATTAACTTCTTATGCCTACAATTTCTTTTTAGCTTCTGGAGGTCCAGGTCATGTCGCAGCGGCCTAGGACCATAGTACATCAATATGCGAAACACTCTTATTCATAGGTGGATCTTTTCAAAGACAATGAATTCGAGCAAGGGGAGTCCGAGAACGGGTCACAATAAGTGAATAGTTAAAGGATTTTCCTTTGTGAATTCGGCGACGACCGAAAACTTTCGGAAAAATCATACTGCACCATGATAAGTAGATTGCTTCACAATAGCTGTTGTACCTTGAGCTCTTAAATATGATAAATGCAATTTCACATTTCCTCAAGATACGCATAGATTTCGTAATCAACTCCACTCACAATCTATTCTTGAGCATTCCGAACCTGTCACAGTGTTTCACATCGCTAGGGTCCAATAGCGGGTAAAGGAATCTAGCGATATAGAGTGTCCCTAACAATCATTCCTGTATCAGTATTAAGTAACAACAAAGCCGCGAATCCCCCAAAAGCAGATCAATATCAACTGTGTCCACATTCTGACACACTTTAAAAATTTATCTTTCTCATCTCAATACCATCGGCGGATGACAGGATATCGGTAATTCGCGACTACGCGACTCCTATACACACCCCTTTGAGATACCCTTTTCTGGGTTGTCTGTTACGAATTGGAACAAACACCAAGGGCTGAATATTGACAATGCGGTCTCTCACTTCCAGGACCAGTTCGGCCTTACTGACAGTATGGGGGCTATTATCCATATCGTTGATGCCCTCGCTGGGTCAGGCAGATAAAACTGCTGGAGATTATTTTGTCCATTCGCTGCCGGGCGCTCCGCCTGGACCCTTACTCAAGATGCATGCTGGGTAAGTTACATTCTCCATATCAAAGATAAAGCTAACATGAGGCTTGCAGACACATCGAAGTCACCCCTGACCATCACGGAAACATGTTCTTTTGGCATTTTCAGAATAGACACATTGCGAACAAACAGCGCACTGTGATTTGGCTGAATGGAGGTCCAGGTTGCAGTTCGGAAGATGGAGCTTTGATGGAAATAGGTCCTTATAGAGTAAAAGATGGATCCAATGGACCAAAACTTGAATACAATCCAGGTTCTTGGGATGAATTTGCGAATGTTATGTTCGTAGACAATCCAGTAGGAACAGGATTTAGTTTCGTGGACTCGGACAGCTACGTTCATGATTTGCCCGAGATGGCGGATCAATTCGTCCAATTCTTGGAGAAATGGTTTGCGCTATTCCCCGAGTATGAGCATGACGATGTGAGTATAATCCCGTCCAATTGTTATTATACGGATCACTAACTATTTCAAAGCTATACATTGCGGGAGAATCTTATGCTGGACAACATATTCCCTACATTACAAAAGCTATTCTGGAACGAAACAAGAAACCTGACACAAAACATCCGTGGCCAATGAAAGGAATGCTAATTGGAAATGGATGGATTTCGCCGGCTGAACAATACATGGCCTATCTTCCATTCGCATATGAGAAGGGGCTAGTCAAGAAGGATAGCGAAAAGGCAAAGAAATTGGAGTCCCAACAAGCCATTTGCACCAAATTATTGAATGAGAACGGCGGAAGAGACAGGGTCGATAACGGCCAGTGCGAACAGATTTTACAAGAAATTTTGTCGACCACTCAAACCAAGGGCTCAGATGGCAATATGCAATGCTACAACATGTATGATGTGAGGTTGAAGGACTCCTACCCAAGTTGTGGTATGAACTGGCCTCCCGATTTGGTCAATGTTACACCTTACCTCCGCCGAACGGACGTGGTTGCAGCTCTGCATATTTCACCTGAAAAAAGGACTGGATGGACTGAATGTAATGGTGCTGTTGGCAGCGCTTTCAGAGCTACACACTCAAAACCTTCCATTCAGATTTTACCAGACCTTCTCAAAGAAGTCCCTACCATACTATTTTCCGGTGCTGAGGATTTGATTTGCAATCACATAGGCACTGAAGAAATGATCAGCAATATGGAGTGGAACGGTGGCAAAGGATTCGAACTTGGATCCGGAACATGGGCGCCACGTCGGGATTGGGAATTCGAAGGCGAGGCAGCGGGTTTCTGGCAAGAGGCTCGCAATTTGACCTACGTCCTGTTCTACAATTCATCTCACATGGTACCCTTCGATTATGCACGACGTACCCGAGATATGCTTGACAGGTTTATGCAAGTAGATATTGCTAGCATTGGTGGCGCTCCAACCGATAGTCGTATCGACGGCGAGAAGGGTCTGGAGACATCTGTTGGCGGTCATCCTAATAGTACTGCTGCTACTCAAGCCGAAGAAGAACGCTTGGAGGCCGCGAAATGGAACGCTTATTACAAATCTGGTGAGATTGTCCTAGTGATCGTCATTATCGCAGCTTCGGCATGGGGCTATTACATCTGGCGTGAACGACGCCAACGCGCTGGTTACGCTGGAATTTTCGGGGGTGACACTCCTATGGCTTTGGCGGGCGCGAGAAGTGGTCCTAGAGGCGCAGCAGGTCTTGAAAATTTCCGCAATAAACGAATGGCGAGAGATGTGGAGGCAGCGGACTTTGATGAAAGTGAATTGGATGAACTACACGTGAAGTCACCTACGGACGACATGGATAGAGATAGATATAGCGTTGGAAGTGCAAGTGATGATGAAGGCACCACAAGAAGAAATGGAAATGGCAAGGGCAAAGAAAAGAGTTACTCATAGTCTAATGCACTGCACGTATGACGAGTTGGAGGATTGGCAAGTCAGAATTTTCTTTAATCCGTATGAGCATTAGTATGGGCGCCTTTTGGGATTTGGGCAATCGACGCGCTGGGTATGTTACTATCACTATTTTAGACTTGGTTCGATTGGACTGCACTGTGGGAACTGCGGGAGTTCAAATGGAAATGGAAATGAATGCAGTGATGCATTGATGTAATGTAAGACATTCGGTTCTATCGCACTCGTGTATCGTGTATCGTGTCACTGAATTTTAGGAGTGCATAAATGTGAGATGTGTTATATGGTTGACTTCGAACTCGCTTCATATCATTACTACCTATATGACCTAATTTTGGAATCCTATTGATCGCCCTGTGACCGCCTTAAACTCCTCTGTAATAACTTCATCTTCTTGTATAACTGTGGCATCCAGCTCTCCCATCCCTTGCTCGATTAGGTCCTAGTTTTGAAACGCTCGGTCCAGGACTACATCTATGCCTTCTTCAACCCGATTCAATTCATATGCCATCTTATAGGATCAGAGATGCCTTCAGGCCTGGAATTCTCGCCCATATATCTTTACTTGTCATTCGCCAATTTTCCATCTCGAAATTCTCGTAGTGTAATCTCATCTCATCTCCATCTACCTCTTCTTGACACTTGGTCTAGGCTTGCACTCATCCGCGTTTACTGGATGTAACATAATCTTATTTGGGTATTGTGGCGTGTTGCTTGCATAGCCCTTACTCCAATCGTAGCTAACGGCGTAGGCAAAAATGTTTCCGGTGTGGTTAAAGGCTGTAGCTGAGATGGTTCCCCCGACGGTTGGGTATCCCTTCAATCTATGCTTGGCAATTCCGTCCCAGAAATGGAACGTACCGTCGGACCCAGCAGTGCTGAAAGTACCGTGGATAGGGTGGAAGGATATCGCGTTTACGGAGTAGACGTTGGTCATATTGTTTGAGGGTGGGTCGCGGTGACATTTGAAAGAGAAATTCATACTTTGATAGATTAGTGAGGGGTCTTGAAAAATGCATTCTGGGGAAAGATTGCATACGTGGCGTCCTTGTCTTCAACATATTGAATGGCACATCTTCCTTCAATACTACCAACTGCGAAACCAGAAGCATCGGGAAATAAGCTAATGACTCTAGTTTGCCATTTCAACGGACTTTGAATGGTCTTCTTAATCTTATCTGGCATGTTCAAATCGATGATATTGATATATCGGTCTGCGGTTCCAACAACCAAAACATTCTTCTGGACATCTAAGGTATAGACTTTATGGTTCATGTTCACCGAAACGACCGGATTAGGAGTCCTCAAATCCCAATACTTAATGGTATTATCCCAAGATCCGGTCACGAGCATCTCCCCGTTTGTTTGAGGGGCAGTGAAGAATCTCGCGGATTTTATAGGTTGATCATGCGCGGCGACTTGCGATACTGTTTGATTGCTTTCAAGATCCATAACACGCGCGGTTTTGTCGGCTCCGGCTCCAACTACTTTCTTTCCATCCTGTTCGAGTTCATCAGTATGCTTTCTGATAAACTCAGCTAAAACGTATACATACCTTTGACCAGTGACAGCTAAAGACCGGCCCTTCGAAATCAAATAATGCCCTGCCTTCACTCTGCCCGCTCGACAAGATCTCGTAGATCCTCACTTTCTTATCCCATGATGCGACCGCTAAATGTTCGGAAACCGGTGAAAAGGCAAGATCGGAAATACTGTCCTCGGGAGGATTATTGAGAGGGATATCTTTCGAAAGATCACCGAGAGTATTGGCCGCGCTCGTCGAGGTTGTGGTAGCCGCAGAACCAAATAATCCCGCCATGTTTGCTTATAGATATCTGCAAAACCGACTCAGTAGTATGCGCCGTCTCGAGAAAGGAAGCTTTTTCGCGTCGTTTCGCGTTCGTTGGCGTTGGTCGTCGAACAATTTCAATTTCACCTGTTTTGCGTGCACGTAATTAAAAAACGACGGCTTCTCCAGGCATCGAAAGCTCATGTTGAAAATCCGCGCTAATGATGTTAGCCAGCTGCACACTAGCGGCCGCACAAAACTTCCCATCCACTACAAATTTTGAATTTTCAACCGGAAATTCTCTCTTCTCTTTTTCTTCTACAACTTCTCGCTCAAAGAATCGCATTCGAAGCACACAAACAGAAATATCTTCATCGATGTTTCAATCTACTCTTATGCTTTGGGAGAAAGTCCCCGGACACCCTTCTTTCTAAAAGTTAGGATTGCGGAAACGCGCCGCCATAGAAGCACTTGCGGCTTCTCTTCTACCAATTCTTTACCTTCAATTTCATCCATCCTTCTGCCGCTATTACTGTTGCCACGAGGCTTCTTGAAAATTGGATTCGGAGCATAGGAGACCACATGGATGAAGATATGAGTCCGAGCTCCTGTGTAATGTTTCTGATTGGCTTGAAGAACAGTGGTGATGAGAGGTAGAAGACATGTTCCTGATTGTGGTGGGAGTGCTAATGGTAGTCGAGGCTTTTTCGTCGAGATCGATAGTTATGCGATTGCTTTCCTTTGCTGCAAAGCTGGGAAAGTAACTCGATGGGGCTTATTCTTGATGCGAGAAGTTCAATTACATTTTTGAGTCTATAGCTTATAGGAAAGCAAAGATGTTGTGGACTGAATGTTGGGACACCAAACTCTAACCCTTTCTTCACCGAAAGGGTCGCCCTTGATTGGAAGTCATTCATCTTAGAAGCTCTGTCGAAGGAGCTGGACTTTGTTACGATCACAAAAGCAGTTCAGGTGATGATTACCAAATAGAGTCAAGCACTGAATTGGGTCGTGTAAAAAGCGGCTCATAATTTGATGACCACAATTGCGTTATGGTGTCTGATGAACTTTACAAAGCTTTTTTTTCTTTTTGTCAATAAAACTTAGCATTTAATGATAATATTATATTAATTCTCATCTATCTGATGTGCAACTCAATCATACTTCCAAAATCCAAAAATACAATGATGCAGATGTATGCAAATGACGCCGCTGTCCTTTAAATTTCCCAACCCGTCATAATCCTCATATGGTATCAAGCCGTTAATCCACCCATAAAATGCGATAGTAAACAATATCCTTCACATAAGCCCACCCAGAACCACTCTTCCAACGCCCGCAACCTCACTCTTTACTCCACCTCTGCTGCTATCCTCAAATTCCTTCACTACTCCCTGCACAATAATCTTCCTTACTCTAGCATCCGCTTTAGTAAACATTTCCGCAATCTGTGGACTGCACTCTTTAGGTGACGATACCAGGCTCATCAACCTTGTATAACAATCAATCAATACATCGCATAGTGTCGCAAATGTCTCGTAGAAATCGGGATCGAATGGTAAAGATGGTGTCAAGAGATGTGTATATTCCTCGCCTGGTAATAAATCGTTTTCACTTGCTGGGAATGATGTTGCGCCATTGCCACCTCCACTCGATGTACTACCATTGATAGATTTGGTATCCGAGACATCGTTGCCCATGGGCAATCCTATTTCAGTGGCAGAACTTGTGCGTCGTCCTTTACTAGGAATCATAGTTGAGCGCTTGAACATTTGTGGAAATCTTCCGCGTGATAATGAAGAAGATGTCGATCCATCTGGTGGATGCGCTTGTTGGAAAGATTCGAATTCGCCGAGAAGCGCGTTGAGCGTGCGCAGAAACTCCGAAGGACTTGAAGAATTGAGATCGAGGATTGTAGGGAGTGAAAGACCGAGAAGAAGGTAATTTGTCGCACGACGAGCGAGTTTGCGCGCATCGAAGTAGGGCATTCGTTGTAAATCGGGCTTATTGAATAATAATGTATTGAACCAGTAGACCCTTCCTTCATGACTATTGGAGTTAACTTGTCAGTATAATCTTTCTGAGGTAAGCTGCAATGAGAGGATAGCGAGGACATACGCCTTTCGTAAATAATCCAAGGTAGATATTCTCTTCGACGCCATCTCTTGTATGTGCTGGTAAGTTATGGTCTCGAGCGTAGGACTACCAGGCTGCATTGGGGCCATTACACCTGGTCCCGCAGGTCCTCCCCCTGAGGATTGATAGCCGGTGCCTGGTCTAGCAAGCATCTTTGAATATGGCGTCGTCGAGGTAAAAGATTGCGCATCTATCGATTGACGCGGTAACGTTTCTCCAAACGAATTGGCTCCTGTAGTTTCTGCTAAGACAACGCGATCGTAACTATCTATGCTTTGCCGGGGATCCGAGGGTGGTAATGGAAGGTTTACTGGGACGACATAGGGATTGTTCGCAGCAGAATGCTTTTCGGATGAGTTTGAAGTGGGAAATAATGGAAGATTAGGCAAAAGTGTTGAGTGTAAATGCGCAGTGGAATTATTACGTCGATTATGGCGAGAGGATGCAGAAAAGGAGGGTTTGCGACTGAAGCCAGTTACCGATGGTCTCGGTTGGTGAGTCGGTTGATGTGTCGGACTGTATTTGGACTCGCTCTTAGGGGAACCTCCGCTAGTACTGGGACGATTTGAGGTTGAAGTTGGAGTCTTACTGCCCCCAAATATATTACCACCTTTGAAGAGTCCACCATTGGTATTTGAGGAGGGTGTAGGTCGATGCATCTTTCCGCAATCGTACGCCACAACATCGGCTAATTAGATGTTCGATTTTCCGATAATAGCCCCCACCCTCTCTCGAGCTTTCTCTTTCCTTTTCGATGTTTCTTCAATCAAATCTTCACACTCGATATCTTCTTCTCTTGTCTTCTCTGGCACTCTTTCGTTTTCGTGGTCGTCGGTATGTGTGCCTGCTTTTAAACAAAACTTCGAAAGTAAAGAGCGAGACAGAAAAAGGAATCAAAAGGGATATATATTATCAAATCCTGTTGGGGAATGTGCTAATATTATTTATTTATTCGAGTGGATCAGAAAGGAGATACCGAAGTCTCACCCCCAGACTTCAACCGTAAAAAGCAAATCTGCAGGATGAAGAAAAAGCAACAGATAAAATTGGATTGGGA